CCCCCCCACCCCCTTAATTTGCTCAATCTGTTGCAAGTTACTGTTGGGTCTAGTAAAACTCTTGGGACTCAGTAAACAGTTTATTGGATACGGAGTCCGAGGGTTTGTTTCACTGAAAAGGGAAGCTGGAATGTTAGGTTGGACTACATCATCAAAATCTAAATCAGTATTTTAAGGCCTATTTTCAGCCAAAAGTGTATCTAGGTAATTTTGAGATGCCTGCACTCTTAAATTAGTTTTGACTTTAATTATAAAACAGCCTGGATGCTATTATATCCTCTCAGCTGCTCAGCTGCTTATATTAATGCTTTTTTAATCTTTAAAAAAACGCTCATGAAAGCTTTGCTATTAACATGTATCCTAGAAGAATAATCACCAGCTTATTCTACATATCAAATGCTTTTAAGAATTGCTTGTAAGAATGCTTTTAGAGAATGCGTAAAATGCTTTTAAAATTGCTATCATGCTTATATTTAACTGCTTATTAATGCTTTTTATCTTCGAAAGAAAAAACTTTAACGCTTACAAATGCTTACATGCTGATAGAATGCTTAACTGCTTAGAACTGCTTACTTAAAGAAAAGCTTAAATGTTGATGAACACCTCACCGTTTTTATTCTATAGTCCTGTGTTTTACGGACACAACGTGTACTCTTGGCAATTACGTCAGCACCAACAGTTCTTTCCCCGGGTACACATCCACGGTCTCTGAGTGCTGTGACCAGTATGGAGGGACAGCACTCAAGTTATTGACACAGTTAACTTCAGACCATTGTCATATGTGTACAACTGGTGAGTATGCCGACGATTATGCATTGATCTTTCTGTTTCGATGATAGTTCCTTTCATCAACAGCAATATGAATGTATAGGCCTATAACGCAAATATCCTCCAATTAATAGAATTGGCTTATACTAAAATGCAAAACGATTCTATAGCCTTTTATAAAAGTATCTACCGAATTTCATGTCATGAGGAAGCAATATTTATGTAGGATATGTAGGACAGTGTTGATTTTCAATAGTAGACCTTATTGTACATTTAATACACTGTAATTATGGGGCAAATTTCAGACCGCCGCGCTCCTTAAAATCAGAAGCATTGTGAAAATGTTTAGATTTGCATGTACATGTATTAAATACATCAAGCAGTGTTACTGGTGCATTAAATACTAATCTGGTTTCTTTCAGATATTTGTACGTATTGCCAGAACGCTCCGGTGGTAACAGCTGACGGCATGGCCCTGGCTGACCCCAGCCCCTTCAGCTGTGACCAGCCGACGCCCGCGTGGCCTGCCGTCACAACCATCGACGTATGTGGACCACTGACCAATTTCACACAGACCACAATCCCCGCAGTCCTTCCTTCCGGTCCGTATTGTGACTTCACGTACCAGAGAGTGTACACGACCTACGACACGTGCGAGAACAGCGCACAGACCGTCCAGACGATCAGGGTCAAGGCCACGGAGGGTCCGACATTCAGCAATCTCCCGGCTGACACCACGTTGTCCTGTGGAGATGATATCACCCTGACCAACCCCACTGCGCAAGGACAGTGTACAACGGCCACAGTTGTCCTTAACTCCCTTGTGAACACCACAGATGCTTCCTGCGTCAACAATTTTGCGATCACCCGGACGTGGACGGCAACGGACGGATGTGGTCTGCAAACGACCGCCTCGTCCACCGTGTCCGTCCGCCACACCACTCCGCCCACAATGTCCAGCATGACCGCCTCTGACCGCACCATCATCCTTAACCAGGCGTGCAACAACATCCCAAATCCCGATACCCTTACGGTGACCGGATATTGTGGCAAAACCCTACCGTACAGCAGTAGTGATGTCATCACCAATCAGCAGTGTCAGAATCGTTATACCATCGTTCGAACATATACAGCCACCGACGAGTGCGGCTTATCGACATCCAACACTCAGAATATACAAGTGAGGTCGGTGACATCCCCGACCTTGACCGTTCAAAGTGACGTCACAGTCACGTGTGACGCTGTTCCCACTGCTGTCTCCGCCAGCGCGTCCGGACACTGTGGTGTCGGCACAACTGTTACTTTAGCTTCCTCTACAAGGACCGACGGCACCTGTCCTCAGCGCTACTCTCTCCGCAGAACATGGCGGGCGACAGACGCTTGTGGGCTCAGCACCGAAACTGCCCAAAATGTCGTCGTGACACCGAAAGGACCGCCAACTTTTACCTTTATCCCTGCGTCTGTTACCGTGAACTGCGACACTGATATCGCCAACACGGCTAACACTGGCGGTAAAGCGATAGCCCAATCTCCGTGTGACCCTGACGTCACTGTGACGTACACAGACACCAATGTTGGGAAGGCCGGGTGCAGCTTGACTGTGGTGAGGCGTTGGGTGGCCACAGACAACTGCGGGGCGCAGGCCACGGCAGAGCAGAACATCACCGTAGGAGCAGCTTCTGGAACTGTCAAAATAACCGCGCCAGACGACACCAACGTGGCTGTTTGCCCCGGAGCTTCTGTCAGCGGAGAGTTCACGGGGGAAATCAATGTAAACTCGCTCTGCCTTCAAGTTTCTGACGTCAGTGTGACGCATTCCGATACCGTGGTTTTCAGCGGAGATGGAACTCGTACGCTGCTGAGGAAGTGGACGGCACGTGACATCTGCGGGAACGAGGACACGGACACGCAATACCTGTTTGTTGTTGAATCCAGATCAGTTTCTATGTCCAGCGTGGCCGAGGAGACCGTGAAGGTGACCTTGGCCGGTGACTGTGGAACCCTGCCAGCGCCCCCTACCGTAACTGCAGCAAAACAAGATGGTACCTCCTTACAGGTCACATATACGGAGAACAAAACCCCCGGCAGGTGCCCCTATATCTACAACCTCACTCGCGTCTGGACGGCCTCAGACGAGTGCGGGAATACCGCCACCAAAACCCAAACACTAGAAGTTGATTACGCCCAGCTCCCTGTGCTGTCAACCACCCCATCAGACATCACGGTGCTTTGTGATTCCATCCCTAGCGTTCCGGTCGTGACGGCTTCCGGGGCGTGTGGAATGACCCCTACCGTCAAGCTAGTGGAGGAAGGCGGTAAGACGTGTCCATTGCCGTCTTCTTTGACCAGGAGGTGGACTGCCACTGACCAGTGCGGGAAGTCCACGACGCACGCGCAAACCATCCAGATCACAAGCGCCGGACCTCCTACGTTCTCGTACGTTCCGGCCAATGTCCAGACCGAATGTTCGTCTGCCGCTGACGTCATCAGCGTTGGTAAGACGGGTGGAATTGCCACAGCCACTTCCAGATGTGACCCCACCGTCCAAGTGACTTATGCAGACACCGTTTTGAGTGACGACCGCTGCAAGAAAACAATTCGCAGAACTTGGACCGCCACGGACGACTGCCAGACGACGACCACAGCATCTCAGACGATAGATGTCACCATCAGCTCCGGTCTCTCGCTGACACTGCCCCAGAACACGAATCTCGTCGTCTGCCAAGGAGATTCCATCGCTGCAGCCGAAGTAGGAAGCACGGCAAAGGTGAAAAGTATCTCCCCATGCTTGGAGGCAAGCGAATACGACTTAACATACGACGACACGATGTTAAGTGAAGACGCTGTCACCGGCATGAAGAGAATCCAACGCACCTGGGTTGCTACGGACGTGTGTGGAAACAAGGCAACTGGGTCCCAACTTCTGACAGTATCAACGGTCGCCCAGCCCTCCCTGGCACTGGAGCCAGCGTCTCTGGCCATCAGCTGCTCTAGCCTGGCAGAGGTCAGGAACCTCCCCTTGCCCCAGCTGAGGGTTTCCGGTAGCGGTGCGCAGGTGCAGAAGGTAGAGGAAACGACAAACGTCCAGGGCGCATGCGCTGGACAGATCATCAACAGAACCTTCAAAGTGACCATGGATTGTGGATATGATACAACGCTCACGCAGTCGGTCATAGGTAACAATGCCACTTTCGTTTCAGATAGGTTTATCACATTCAAAAGTCTTCTCGGGGATTCAGGAAGTTGTGAAGGTTTTTTTTTTTTTCAGCTGAAACGCTCCATTCTTTCTTTGCATATTGTTATACATGTAATATTGTATATAAATATTAAACATGTATAGTACTGTTATTAGGTGCAGTCTCAGGGCGAACCATAAGCAATTCGGTGGTATAGCTAGGTTTCGATTTCATTTTGACTTTTACCGAATGCGTATACAGTAAAGTTGACTATCCATTTTCCTAACAATATCTTTATTAACATTTTAAATGTTTAATTTTGTTTCTCTTATCCATCCCTTTAGAAAATTACGAAAAAGTAGCTGTTTCTACATCCCTTCTACTTTACAGATCTTATAGCTACATGTGCCCTTTTTTCACTAGATCACTGCTGTAATTATTATAATACATTAACTCCACTCTACCCTGACATTAGCGAATGAAGTCATGAAATCCCCGTCTCCTATTTCTCAGACCATTTTATGAACAGTTGAAATAAATTTACCATGTTGTTGACAGTGTCAATATCATATATTGATATTTCACTTTGACGGTTTCGGCCTTTGACATTTATGAAACACGTTTTCTCTTTAAATGTGTCAATTATTGTGTCGATTCGATTTCAGCTAGCGTGAGAACGGCTTCCGTGGTCACTCAGCCAGTGTATCTGGATGCGCAGTTTCGAACTCCGTATCTGCCGAATAATCAACCTGTGAGTGTCTTTTATTAAAGGGATAATAACTCTTTGTATGAGATCTATATTTCACAATAAAAACATTGTGAATAACTCATAGAAATATAATATATTCTGTTTTACCACAAAAAAGGCAGTTATAGCTATTATTCTGATATCTGAGCTTGTCTTAAGACCACGTGACCTCCATTGATGGCTATGCTCTGTTAAAATCTCTTAAGAGATTTTAACAAAAAACCAAACTTTTTAGAAAAAAACCAGGGACTAACTTTGAATGTAAAAATGGATTCATTAATCATTGGTAAGTATGGGAAAATTGTTGTTTACTCCAGGAAAATTCATTTTTTGGCCGAAACGAAGAGTTATTATCGCTTTAAACATGTAATTTAGTTTTTCAGAGATTGAAATCGTTACTTTAAATACCAAAATAAAATGCATTCTTATCGTCGTTTGTGGAAATGCATGTTAACCTTTGTTAGTGCAATATGAAGGGTGAGTTATGAGGAATCCAAAATGAAGAATGATTTTGTTCTGTTGTCGGTCATGTTGACCTTAGTACATGTAATATGAATGATGATTTCTGACCAAATCAAAAATAAAGATTCATTTTGTTCTGTTTCTAGTCCGGCAACCCCACATGGACCGGAACTAACATCATATGGAACCCCGATCAGTACAGTCCGTACAGATTTTGGAACTACCAGACCTATGGGGCCGCGAACACCCCTAACTGGGCCTACCAACACTCTAACATGGGGACCTTCATGCGACCAGGAGGGCAACGATCTCGCTTGGGGGCGAACTCCTGGAACGTCATGGCGGCCGGAACCAGAAGTCAGGCCGTCTTGGCTGATGGGGACAGCCCAGCGTTCTGGAACTACCCCGGCACCAACGCTGGATCGCAGGGAGCTTCGGGCGTTATGCAGGTATCTTCAAGCGTGGGACAAGCTTCTGTTGGTGCCCAAGGCAAGGGGAATTTAAGTGGAAAAGGCCTGACTGCACTTCAGAAAATGTTTGGACCAAAGGCTAAGAAGGAAAGCACCGGTTCTGGTCCAACAGCCACAGGTCCTTCATCAACCGGGCCCTTTTAGACATTTATTCCGCCTTTTATACACCGTCATTACATTTCAATTTGAATATATTTTTCCTTTGAAGTATCGTTACTGTTTGAAGAAGTGAAAATTATTATTATTATATCCAATACTTTCGATACACGAATTAAATTATCATCTATCATGTAGTATTCTGTACTTCTATATATGCATGTATTGGATTACACAACAGAGGCAGTGGAACTTTAACTAGCTTAGAAGAAACTTTTTGAATTTTGACCTTATATGAACTTTCTACAATCAGCATGAGCTTTTCTCCGGTAGAGAAGGCGGTCGTTAACAAGATGATTCTCAGTAAGAAAATAGGCTATGTTAACTTGGTGGAAAAATAATTTTTTGTCAAATTTACGAAAGCATTGTCACCTATATTGCTACTTTAATCTAAGATAAATATCTGAATTAATAACAATATGAAATTTATTTGTACGTGTGTTAATATAAATTTATATGGGTATAGTTGCAGTTTTGTAGCAATACTTTTACGTCATCCATAAATATTTAGTGTCATATACAGAAATCCATTTTCGCCTGTATCACGCATTCACCAACTAGATCAAATTACTAGGTGTAAAACACAATAAGGGTAATTTTTCGGGACAAATAATGACACGTGTTTGATTCAGATATGTCAATAAAGGGAATCTTATCCCTAATGGAAGCGTTCGACTCTTGCTTTCAAATGAGACGTAAGAATAACCCCTTACTAGACCCATTCAACATACATGTACTGAAGCATGCTTGTAAAGACCTATGCTTTTTCCTGTTGTCGTTTCTTTGACTCGAGAGGTATATCCCATGCATTTATAACACTAACACACACATAGTGGCAGATTAAGGGGGGGGAGGGGGGGCGGGGGCCTGACCTCCCCTTTGGTTTCTGAAAAATACATGTATATCACACCAATATTCCCCTATTGAAATTGGATTTTTTAATGGCTAATTCATAGTTCCAAGCCGTACCAAAGGGCACTGTTGGCTCTCCCAAACACCAAAAAAATTTTTTCGGGGCCCTTGAGCAGGCCGAGAGCCCCACACCAAGGGGGCGATGGTCGGATTCGCATCGGAGGCCTGTCGTTCCAGACCCCCACCCCCCCTTCAAAAAACCCTGGTTCCGCCCCTGCACACACACTCGCGAGCGCACACACACTCATCTGTTCGTTTATATTGATATATTAATACGTTTTTTTTTTTTGGTTTTTATGCCATGAATTATAATGTGTAAAAAAAGTATAAATACACACGCAGCTGGGCGCACCCACATTTACATTTATATTTGATATTTGTCGCCGAAAATTTAATTTTGTAAAAATTTTCTTTTAAAACTGATTAAAGATCTATTTGCTGTCCTCTCGAGAAAAATGACTCAGTTTTGTATAAAAATTGCACAATAGAATTCACAGCATAGAATAAAAACACCAACGCCAAGTATTGCGCTCTTTCTTAACTCTTTTTTCATTTAGTCTATCAATTGAATCCCTATCAACCACAAGTAGTAAAAGACGCTTCCGCTTTCGTTAACCTAAGGCCATTCCGGCTGTGGGATGGGTCTCTGATACTGACCATGTATGGCCACTGGCCACAAGAGTGAAGAGCGGGAGATGACATCTGCATATAAGTTGATCGACACCATATACCAGACTAAATATTATTGTCATTTCTGTGCAGCAATTCTCAAAGTATACATGTAGAAATGTGCACAGTTAGTGAATAGCCAGAGAAACATGAATATCTAGTCGAAAGGTTCTCCCTGTGACCATGGTAGAAATGTCCAGATGTACAGGGTACATTGTACGATGTGACAATTTGGTATATACTGTACATTGTATGACGCCGTAATGGCGTGTTTTCCAATGCCTCCTGATAACTGTGTTATTATCCCACCTCAACCATGGCTTTTCATTAAAACAACGCGAAATAAACAATTTTGCGGTTTTTAAACAAAAATTTAAAAACCTTATCAGAATGTCCTATCTGTAGATGTACGCATTCTTGTATATATACGCTTGTGGTGTCATGATAAATTCACTCACATTAATTAATCACTAAAGTCAGTTTATCACTGGTTTTAATCAAATAACAAGACTATTCGAACTTTTTACCGTTTCGTGTGTGAGCTAATTAAACAAACAGCAGACAGATTGACAATATTTTTCGCATGTTTATGCTTGAATTATCATTAATAAACCCCAAGCACCAAACAATTAAAAAAAAAACAATTGAAAATCTAGACAACAGCGATATGTAAGATTAAAGTACCAAAATACAATTGTCCACATAGCAACCATAACAACTGAAAATTTATAATAACTAGGATATCTTGGACGCTAATGTAATTAATAAAATAGTTTTAATATAGTGAAATATTTTAGCAAATTCTGCACTACGCATAAAAGAAATACGTCGGCATATCCATAAAAAACTATTGGTAATTTAAAAGGATCCAATGGTTAAAGCAGTTTTGAAAACATCTTGATTCCTATATATAGAAATTAAAATCCATCAGTCAAATGAAGTCGACACTTAAAAGTCCAATGTAAACTAAATTTTGTGAATATTTCCGACGAAAGTAAAAAATGCTAATGAAAACAAAATGGTGTCTACATTTCACTAAATTCAGATTCTTCAGTTGAGTAACTTATTCACAGCAATGCTACTCTTGCTTTTGGGACATTAATTTGTTCAGTTTTAATATTGTATGATGCCAAATTATTATCACGAAATTGCATATTATTCACAAGTTAATATGCGTTTACCACTTTCTTTCATTGTAATGATTTAAGACGTTAACTAAAGAATTGATATCATTGACAGTCAGTGAAATATGCACGTGAGAGACAGTTACAAGGGAGTAACACTATCCGAAGGCGATTTCAAATTACATTTACATTGGACATTTGGACCAATACGCCTTCAAATATATCATCGCTGTCTGTGCTCATGTGATCACCTTGCGGGCATAAAATTTAATGAGTTCTCATTGGATGAAATGTTGTAAGGCATAAATCAGCGACAACTTTGGGAAGTGTCCACAGGAAGTTAAGTTACGTCATTGTTTGAGTAATTAATAATAAGAATGCCTACTTCCAACGCTTTGTTATAAGCAAGGTCTCCTACCTTGCAGTAACATCTCGAGAAGTCGTCCGCTCGCGGACGCAGGGACAGAGAAAGGTAAGTAGAATTAGACACACGTAGCTCACAAAATTTCTAAAGAAAAAGGGCACTGAGTGGTACTTTGGCGGAATATTTACTTACATTTAAATATCATCGTTGAACTATTCTGTAAGAACATTCTTTGTAGCTCATTTCGAGGTATCATATCATATCATATCATACTTTATGTGTAAATAATTTTGTTAACTGTTAGTAAAAGAAGAGAACACAATAGAAATATGCTAATGGCCATAATACCTTTTTTTTGTTATTTTTCTTTATCTTCTAGAAATTTCTAGATTTTCGGTCACCTTGATAACAGGATGATGTTGAATTTGGATGTTGTTTTGTGATATACATGTATGCATTTGTCACAGAAATATTAAAAACAAGCGCTTCAAACTTCACACCGTGTATAGAAAATTTCTGAGATTTACCCATATATTTGGCGTGGGCTAAAATACTGGGGTGTACTGGATGTGAATCCATTCATAGTCATTTTGCTATCGACGTCCTCTCAGATATTTATGTGTTGACTACTGACCTAGTACTTGTTTTAAGCAAAGAGATGGACTCTCATAGCTATCATTCGTTGTAGTCGAGTAGTGCGTTGTAAAATGGGTTTGTAAGTTTAAATAAGTGCGAAGATCGGTTTAAAAGGAAACCATCTTCAAATTTCTTTATTCTCATACGTGTCATCCCATGACTGTTATTAAAATCATGAAAAGGGAACTCTTTTCATTTAAAGAAACATAAAAAAAACTTGAAGATGTGTTCTTTAATTTATTTATTTATTTATTTTACGTGCGAGACTTAATGTGTTACTTTCTATTATTGTAGTCGCTGTCAATTTCAGAATGACTGCACGTCACGCTGTGATTGGCGTCTTGGCGGTGGTACTGGGCGTGGCCGTCCACCGCAGCTCCGCCCAAAGTAAGTAATCTGTAATTTATATTTTTTTCATGATATTTTCGTGGGAAAACATTGCTATTTTCAATCATTTTGTGTATATATATATATATATATATATATATATATATATATATATTTGTCATTGGATGATAAAAAGTTTATTCTAAATACAGAAGAAAAATAATACTACACAATACTACTTAATATTTAGCATGACTGTTATACTCCCTTCTTTGGGGCGAGAAAATTTAATTAAAAATAATTCGGGAACAACATCAGTCACGACCCAAGTAGCAAGCCAAGCTATTTTTTCTTCATTTCTTTTCTAGTTTTATGCTATAGTGACTTGTCCTGCACAAGTACTGTGGATATCCCAGGCGCCGACTTCGCCGGGTTAGCGCCGTCAGTGAGAAGTTGTTGTCAAGAAAATGGTGGAACAGCTTTGAAAGTGCTCACGTCTCCTACCGCATGTCATCCTTGTAGTGAAGGTAACAGTCCGCTCTCTGTTTTAATTCGATAATTTTATTAATATATTGAGATACATTTTTATTGTACGCATAAATTGATTTCACAAAACAAGTGGTATATTCAGAGACTTTTAATCTCGGTTATTTTTCAATAATTGTTGAGAATGTAAATGACAAAAGTAAATGATATATGATTTCCCAAATGTTTCCAATTTTTTGTATTACTGGCTCGTTTTCGCACTTTCAGATCCGTGTTCCTATTGCACGAATGCTCCTCAGATCGAGGCTTCTGCCGGGTCGGCAGACCTGTTGGAAGATGTCAACGTCACGTGCGACACCCCACTGCCGCCTGTTCCTGAGATCACACTGAACGCCGTGTGTGCGGAGATCTCCGGCCTCACCGTCGTCACAGATCCGGACCCCTTCCCCACGGGCAATGTTTGCGATCTAACTGTGACACGAACGTACATCTCACGAGATGTTTGCAACAACGAACAGTCCACGCCACAACTATTATCTTTTGTGTCAACTCGAGGACCGACATTTACAAACGTACCACCTGATGAGGTAAAATATTGTTATTATTATTATTATTATTATTATTATTATTATTATTATTATTATCTTTCGTCGTTACAAGAATATGAACAATATAAAGGAAATAAGTGTTAATTTGTTGTTTGCTTTGCATACACTGTATACATTGCATATAATATTATACTACCAATTTATGTATGACGTCACATGTGGCCACGGAAGTGATTTTGTGATATCACATCCTGGTACGACGTCATCGTCGCTTTATAGTGTGACTATATACTGTAATCATTTTTCCAGACCGTATCGTGCGAAGATGACTTGGCGGCCATCAGCGCGCCGACAGCGGTCGGAGAATGTTCTGCGGCCTCAATCACCGACGACAGCTCTCAGACAATACCCGGGGCATCGGGCTGTGAATTTGACAAGGTGGTCCAGCGGACATGGACGGCGTCAGACCAGTGCGGGAAGACGAGTACACACACGTACAGGGGTACGGTGTCCCATACCACGGCACCTGCCATCACTGGTTATGTCCCCACCAGAACCGCGCTGTGTAACAACGTTCCCTCCTCTAATGCTGTGACGGCTGTCGGATACTGTGGACGCACCGTCCCCATCACCGTGGTCGAGTCCACAATACCTGGGCAGTGTGCAGACGTCTACCAACTGGTCAGAGAGTTCAACGCTACGGACTCGTGCGGCCTCATCACTATTGCCACGGAGACAATTTCAGTCAACAATGGCGGAATACCACCGACTTTTGACGCTTTCCCCGCTGACGTCACCCTCACGTGCGTCACCAACAGCTCCGTCAATATACCTGATGTCACTGTCACTGCGACAAGCGTATGCGGAGACAGCGTCCCTGTTAATCGCCAGCCCGATAATAGAGTGGACGGCGCCTGTCCAACTGACTTCACTATCCAGCGGACCTTCGTAGCCATCGATGTCTGCGGACAGCAAGCAACAAGGACACAAACCATAAGGGCGTCACCTTCAGATGTATCTTTCACTTTTGTTCCGAGCTCCGCCAGTGTGGAATGTGGCACAGACATCAGCGTCCTGTCTAACACCGGAGGTTCAGCCAGCGCGAGTGACGCCTGTACTGGGACTGCTGACGTCACTTACGATGACGCATCGACATTAAGTAACGATGGCTGCACGAGAACCGTCACACGCACATGGTCAGCGGGGACCGGCTGTGGGGCGCCGAAGACAGCCGAACAGGTTTTGACCATCGAAATCAACAACGCACCAACGATCGAGGCACCGGAAGACCGGACTAACCTCGCACTCTGCCCCAATGAACTGTTCACCCCCGAAGCTCTCAACGACCGCCCCACCGTCAACGCGGGATCCCCATGTAGAACGCTGGACGATCACATCGTCGAGTATGAGGACTTCGTAATCGCGGAGAACCAGGCGGCGGGCACCAGCACGGTGAGGAGGGTGTGGTCCGTCAATGACCAGTGCGGGAATGTTGACACAGACGAGCAGATTTTGATCCTCAATGTCAAGAACCGACCTCAGCTGGCTCTAGACCCGGACCAGTACATCCTCACCTGTAACACGGTCGGTGAGATCCGCAGCCAGGGGACTCCCCAGGTGGTGAACAGAGGAGGGGGCGGCGCCCAGGTGCTCAGCACCCGGGAGACCACGCCGGCCAGTGTGTTTTCCCAGGTGTGCAATGGGCAACAGGTCACGAGGACCTTCGTGGTCAGCCTGGAATGCGGGTTTACCGTCACCCTCACTCAGATTGTTACAGGTAAGAGGTTCCTGTAGATATCTGGCGATCCTTCCTTTTCACTGTCTATCCATTGTCTGTCTGTCTTTCTCTGTATCTGTCCCACTTCGATCTATTTATCTCTTCTTCCATTAATTCATTTATTCTGAATAATTTGGTTAAATTTGGATAAATTTGATAAAGTTATATTTCATTAGTAACATCAGTTGATGGCTGCATTAAAGTTCATTATGTTGGTTTGTGATGAGAGAATAAGATAACTGACATTTCTTCAATATCGATTAATTGTTAGATTCAATATGCGGTTTTGTGTGTATGTTCGTGCGTTCATGTGTACATATGAGTACAGCGCACTTCCGGTTACTTTATTTTGATATACAAACATTCATAAGTCTTAGCTTTTACCTCTTTTTACATTTCCATGCGTCATTATACCTAGGCTTACCTTTTTCTCCATGCATTTTCAGCAATGGCCAGTTCAACTCCAGCACCCCCGACAGTGCCCCCTCGTCCACCAACAGAACAAACTGTCTTCTTGTACTTTCTTTACCCGACCCAAGATGGCCGTAACTTCCGGTACGGTTTCCGCTCCCTGGGAGGTACCTTGTATTTCTTCACCCCTGGAGGGAGGTACAACTTGGCGTACCCAGGGTTCGGCAGCGGGGTCACCACCCCCACAGGTACAGGAGATGGCCTCATATACGCCGTGGTGCAGCAAGACGGAACCGTTCGCTATGCCCAGCGCTCTCCCACGGGCCAAGTCTATTACCTGTCAGCCTACAGCGCTCCTGGCGGTGGCGTCCGTTATGGGTACCAGGTCCCCGGTTCCTCTGCCGTGCAGTACGTCTCAATGCCCCCTGCAGGGATGATACTTTTCCCAACTCTGAGTGGCGGGGTTTCACCACAGCCAGACGGAGGGTACCGCATGGGGTACAGAACACGCGATGGGACCGTCCATGACGTCACTGATTACGAGGACGGCAATGAGTACACACGCTATGGCTACCAGACCCCGAGCGGTGGGGTTCAGTATCTAACCCTTCCGCACGAGGTGGTGTTGAGCAGCCCCGAGGTTAACGGAGGCAGCGTGCTTTGGTACCGCACGCCAGACGGTGTCATACACATCCTTAAGGAGTACCCACAAGAAGACGGAACGCTGCGTTACGGGTACGAGAACCCAGACGATAGCATCACATACGTCACAGTGCCAGAGAACAGGATCATGGCGGTCGAAAGTGCCGGCGGTGGCGTCCGGTACGTTTACAGAACCCCCCAGGGCGGCCTCTACTTCCTGGTTCCCTACCCGACTCCAGAGGGTCTTGTCCGCTACGGTTATCTCACGCCGGAGGGCACAGTGCGATACGTGGCGATGCCACCCACCGGTCTAATCGCCATTCCAACAGCAATCACGGGGAGGAAGAGGTTCACCTACCGTGCTCCTGACGGCACCCTGTTTGATTTGGTGCCACTAGCGGGTCCCGATGGTAAGACCAGGTACGGTTACCGTAAACCAGACGGCAGTGTGAACTACCTGGATCTTCCCATGGGGCAAATCATCATCATGAAGTCACCAGGCGGCGGTCTCCACTACACCTACCGCTCAGACGACGGCATCATCCACAGCCTTATCCCGCACGCTGATGATGACAACAACATTAAGTACGCCTACGTCGGGCCCCAGGGGGTTATCCAGTTCATTCCCGACGCCCCGGGGTACGAAAGCCCCTTCCCCCTCTACAGCAGCGGGATATTCGCTGTAGTCAATGGCGTTGTTCGGCTCAGAGTCGTGGTAGGTCCAGACGAGAACGGACAGACGCTGACCTACGATCTAGAGCGAGTCCCTGACCCGCAGACCAACGTTGTACGGTACGGCTTCACGGCTCCCGATGGAATCATAAGGTATGTCCCAATGCCCACGGTTGGCATAATGGCTGTGCCTACCACGGAGGGAAACATTCAGTACATATACAGAGCACCTAATGGTGAGATCACCCCGGTGGACTCGACGACCACTGCCGACGGAGAGACCGTGTACAGCATAGAGAACCCAGATGGATCCACGCAGGTGCTCCAGATACCCAAGAACAACGTCATCACAATCCCCTTCCCTGGAGGCAGCACTCTCTATTCGCTGCGCCAGGAGGACGGCTCTCTCGTTTATCTGCGTCCTTTCGCCACCCAGTACGGCAGCGTTCGTTACGGCTACCCAGACGAAGCAGGCGAAGCGATAACAGTCCCAATCACCTTTGACGGCGTCAGCGTCGTGAACACACCAGACTCTGACGATGGGAACTCCACCCTGGTCTACCAGACCCCAGAGGGTCCACTTCAGAAGATGACGGCCACAACAGACCCAGTGGGAGACGGTCCAAACTTTGTGACTTACACCATTCAGATCACCCCCGACTCACGGGTGGACATCCCCCTCTCGAAGAGCGGCGTCATGACAGTGCCTTACCCTATTGACGGTGGCAGCGTGTTATTCTACAAGTCTCCCCAAGGCAAGATGTACCCACTTATCCCGTTCAGGCAACCCGATGGAACCATCCAGAACGTCTACAGGGGCGAGGACGGCAGTGAGCAGTACGTTCGCTTCCCACCCACTGGGATGCTAGATCTGCCTCAAAGTGGCAGTAAAGACGTCGTGCTCTACCGCGCCCCAAGCGGAGACGTTCACGAAGCAGAGCCAATCCCGGCAATAGATGGCGGTGTGACCTACGGCTACATAAAACCAGATGGCACCACCAACCCTGTTCCTGGCAATGCTCTGCCAGGCGGTCCACGCCCAACCGGACTTCCCACTGGGGTCATCCCCTTCCTTAACCCTGACAGCAGTATCGTGTACGGATACAGAACGCCAGATGGCGCGTTCCGGTACTTGACGCCGTACCCCGATACCGCCAGCGGCACGGTGAGGTACGGGTACCGCACCCCTGATGGTACCATACAGTATATCCCTATCCCCCAGCCGTCTGTACCGGGAGAGCCCGCCGCCCCCCTGCCTTCCAATATCGTTATATCTATGAACGAGGACGGTACCATCATCTACGTGTATAAAGCCCCTGACGGTAACACGTACGTCCTCACACGTGACGTTGATCCCGATACCGGGCGACCAACCTTCAGATACCGCACTCCACAAGGTTATACCTATTACGTGCCATTGCCTGGGCAACCAAGCAGCCCCACCCGACCCACTCAGCCTGGACGCCCAGGGTATATACCCAAAGGTTTAACCGAAGCCTTAACTCCAAGCGGAGCGACCAGATACATCTACCGGGCTCCGGACGAGAACACATATACCCTGACACGTTATCCTAACCCTAACGGCGCTCCAAGATACGGATACAGAGCTAAGGACGGGGCGGTCGTCTTCGTACCTCTCCCAGGAGAACAGACACAGCCTGTTCCAGGCCAACCACAGCCGGGGACACCAGGGGGCAGTATGCCAACAGGAGTGACACCTATAGTCAATCCGGACGGGACTGTCACCTACTATTACCGCGCACCGGACGGCAGCTCGTACCCGCTGTCCCGTTACCCTAACCCTCTCACGGGCCGACCACAGTACGGTTATCGCGAACCCGATGGCTCTATCAGATTTGTCCCCGGACTAGAGATGCTCCCACGACAACCGGTCATCCCAGGCATTCCAGGTCAAAGCAATCCGGTCTTCCTACCCAGTAATCCAGGAATGCCAACATTGCCCGGATTTCCCGGACTGCCAATATATCCTAATACACCCCAAGGACCAAGTATCCCAGGTATTTCAGTTCCAGTTCCAGGCATTCCTGTTATTCCAGGCATTCCAAGTATTCCCGGTATTCCAGGCATCCCAGGTATTCCAAGTATCCCAGGTATTCCTAGCATTCCTGGCATTCCAAGCATCCCTGGCTTTCCAAGTATTCCTGGCATTCCAAGTATCCCAGGTATCCCAAGCATACCAGGCATTCCCAGTATTCCAGGTATCCCCGGTATTCCAGGCATTCCAACTATTCCAATCATTCCCGGCATTCCAGGTGTTCCATCCTTCCCAGGTTTTCCACAGATAGGTGCAATAAGAGCCAGGCCTCAAGGAGTACCAACCTACTTAGGCTCACCAGGTTTACCAGGTATCCCAGGTATCCCAGGCATTCCAGGAATCCCAGGAGGCGTCAACAGTAATCCAGGTTTCCCAGGAATCCCTGGTAGCATTGGCAGCATCCCAGGTTACCCAGGATATCCAGGAGTTCCCGGTGTTCCCGGAATTCCAGGATTTGGCAGTAATCCTGGTTTCCCCGGCTATCCAGGCATTCCAGGCATTCCAGGTTTTGGTAACAGCGGTGGATATCCAGGGATCCCAGGAATTCCCGGTATTCCAGGTTTTCCTGGAGGCAATCCGATTTATCCAGGCTATCCCACCTATGCCGGTGTTCCTGGTATTCCTGGCTACAACGGATATCCGGGTACCCTGCCTCAGACTGGCACTCCGGTGCCTATCACTGGACCGGATGGGCGGATACTCTATGGCATTAGGCTACCGGACGGTACCATCATCTATGCGTTACCCGCCATGCCGGCCATACCAATGAATAACAACCAGCAACCAACCTCGCCTCCAGTGATGGATCCATACATGGGCGGGCCACAGACTTGTGAGGGCGTGTACGCCGTGCCCGACCCCAGGGGGCAGCCCAACGTGGTCAATTTCGTGTACAGGTCGTCGGATGGGGCCTACTACAGGGTGGACACACAGTTCATGCCGGACGGCAGAGTCCAGTACACCTACACCTCGGCCACCGGAACCACGCGCTACCTCGCTCTACCCCCCTCGGGGATTTTGGCCGTGCCGCTGACCAATGGTCGAGCCGTCCAGTTGGTCTACCGTGAACCGAACCGCTTCATGCTACCGGTCGTTATGATGAACATGTACGGCGGTCGCGTGCAGTACGTCTACTACACGTCTTCAGACACCATCGCCAATCTTGACGTCCCGTCGAACGTTGTCCTCCAGATGGCGACACCGTGCGGTGGGGTTCGCTATGGCTACCGCCCCAATGACGGCCAGATCCGTCTCCTACAGGGGGATAACATGAATCCTGCCAGTAGTGGCCCGGGCCAGTTTAGGTACGGATACAGGGACACAAGCGGCAACACCCAATACCTTTTGAATTATAACTCCTTCCTCGCTCCGGATTACGGTCTGCCACGCAACTTGGGTTACGGCAATGATGGTACCATCGCCGCCGCTTCTTTCCTGTCAGGCATGGGCTCCAACACGGGAGGGATACCCCCAGTAGGTGGTCCAGCTGGACCCCCCGCGCAGCAGCTTCCGGTGAGGCAGCCTATGTCCCCTGCGAACGCCTACCAAGGACTTCAGGGTTACATGAATTTGCTGGACTAGCTGGGGTTCGGAAGGGGAGGATAAACTGACGTGACACTACGGTGTAGAAAAAAAAAGACTTAAAAAGTGTTAAGAAATAAAATACAAAAGACCCCGCATACCTCGTTACAATATAACTCGAAATTTTATGTATAGGGAGCAGAACTTATTAAAGACGGGCTCCTCCTAAATAGCTGAAACTTGCCAACATTGCGTAACTAAAATTGACGCAACTCGAACTAATTTTTTTCCGTTGCAAATGTGACCCAACATGAGAGTGTACTGTGTTTGAAATAAAAAATGTTAACTGTCAGCGTCAGGAGTAAACCGCGTGGATGACACTTTGTTGACACTCGGCATTACACATGCTACTAGCATTACGGTACACAACTGTGCGCAAAAACATTCATCTATATTTTTAATTGACTAACAGACAATGTTTGGCATATTAAAGAAAATACTTTTAAAGTTATGATTATTGTTACTATTCCATTAACTTTTGTATAAGGAGATTCTGTATACATATAATTTGTGTCAATAAAAGACATAAGTGCTATTTTATTTTTGTTCATTTTGTTTTATTTAAAGCTATACAGGTCTGGTTCTTTAAAAAAAGAAATCGGCATATGGACAACCTTATTATTTCCCCAGAGGTTTTCAATCTTCAATAATATTGATACAAATATATGCGCACTTTATAACGCATTGTCAGTGTTCAATTGAGGGGCTCTTTGCGCTCAGCAAACTACAGAATTTGATTCTGCGTCAAAATTTAATTCTGCGACTTAATTAATATGGGCACGAAACAGACAAAAAGAAAGGCGATGCGCCATGTGATCCAGTATTTCGTGAAAGGTCTATATTTAAAAACGTGTTGAATTGGTTGGCTTCTTCATTCAGTAGTTTAATTTCCGTTAGTTTGATACAGTTGCTAAATCTGTCAAACATAATAAACTGGACCGGTAAAATTATTCATTCTCCCTGAACAGCAACAGCCCGTTTCAGTTGGTAAATAAAGACTACACATGTATTTGTATAAAAATTGAGGAAGGCTGTTTTAAATGAAATTAAGCTAAACAAAAACAACCATTTATGCAACGACAACATTTAGTCTAGAGGAAAAATCTGAGTGCAGAAACGTTTGTCATCAATATTTCAAGTGTACTATTTTATTTCGAGTGTTTTAAAATACTACACATTCAAAAATCTAAGTTTTCTGTCATATAGAATTGATGATATTTTTCCCACCTACCGAACGTTCTGTCACAGTCGGCCCACCCTTCAAAGACTTTTAAATATAATTAATTTTGCACCTGGATGTCAATAAGCATTACAATTATCATCATCATTATCACAAAGTCCGCCATCTTCATCATCATCATTATCATCATTATAATTATTACCGTCACTTATGAAACAGGTTTAGGTCTAGACTTTGCCACCAACCATTCACGGTAAATAAAACAAAATGGTAAGAAAGAGTTACAAACTTTCCAATGTTTGCTGACAATCTGAAATAGCGTAGCGTAATTTGATATTTCTCAAAATGAAAGTGGAATAAAATAAAATAAAAAATGACAAACTAGTCTCCCCACCCATCATCAGTTTGTTCCCCTTTCCCTCCACCCCGCCGTTTCAAACTTTCAAAAAAGTGTGTCATCTGTAACGTTTTATCATCAATACTTATATTTCAAATGCAACTGTTATTTTATGGCAGATCGACAGGGAAATTAACGCGTATTAGCACAGTAAAGTTTATTCAACCATTATGGTCTTTCGGTTCTTTTACAGAAATATGTATCTCAAGGAGAACTATATACGTGCAAATGTATATATAAACTAGTAAATGAGTGAATACATAAACGTAAATGAATGTAACTACAGCCGTATTGCTGTCTGTTTTCAAATTAAACTCCTTTAGCAAATTGTTTCAGCTTGTTTATTAAAGAGTGCCAAATTACATAGTGCTTTATTACTTGACGAATTTGGCAGCAGGACCAATTTATTTTACAGTCTTTTTTTTTTTTTTTTTTTTGTGACATAAAAAAACCTGGGTGTAGGCGGCCTGTAGCATTGCCTCATCACTACACATGTTAACACGACGTTGAGTTGTAAAACACAGATGTAAGATAAGTCAAACAAAAGTAGGAGTGTACTGACACTTGGTTTCCTGTTGGCCTAAAATTGAATACAGCAATCAGTCATGTTTGAACAAAAAAAATGAGCCCAATCGAACGCTTCGGGCAAATCTCCTCTCAAAACACATTTACAGCGAGATATGTGTAAAAAGCGCTGTGTTTTAGCCGTGCCCGCACTATGAGGCCGGTTTGTTGGTGCCGTTGCCTTTTCGTTTGGGATTTCACAGAAACTCATCAAACTGCTCTACAATGATAATCTTAGAATAACGGTGGTCCCACGGCGGTACAACACACTGTCAGGTACCAACACAGACAGCCTCCAGGCAAGCCGAACTTATCTCCGTCAGGTGTTTTCAGAAATCAATAATTCACTTCGAGGCCCCACGGCAGTAGGCGGAACTTACCGACAGCATCCGGAGGGGCACGAAAGAAGCCAGAGGGCTTTGGTTGATTACAACATATCCGCCCCAGTCATTACTTATGTCTGTGTCATGTCTACGTGTCTGTTATCTCGACCTTTACATTTGTCAGCCCGACAACTCTATATTTTAAAATCTCCATATATGACACTTATAGAAATTTGCATGAAAAAAGGCACCGCTGCATATTGTAGCTTGGAATATATTTTCTACGTGTACGCGTGTTACAGATACATGTAAATAATTACTCAAAGAGATCCTTTTAACAGTAGTTGTTTTGGTCGTTGATAGAATCTCTGCTAATGATACCATAATAAACTGATGAAGCACAAGAAAAGGTTAGGGTAGATACTGGTATCTGTTATTCCAGAATTACTTTGAAGGGATAATAACTCTTCGTTTTGGCCAAAAAATGAATTTTCCTGGAGTAAACAACAATTTGCCCATATTTACCAATGGTTAATGAATCCATTTTGGCATTCAAAGTTAGTCCCTGGTTTTTTTCTAAAAAGTTTGGTTTTTTGTTAAAATCTCTTAAGAGATTATAACAGAGTACAGCCATCAATGGAAGTCACGTGATCTGAAGACACGCTCAGATATCAGAATAATAGCTATAACTGCTGTTTTTGTGGTAAAACAGAATATATTATATTTCTATGAGTTGTTCACAATGTTTTTATTGTGAAATAAAGATATCATATGAAGAGTTATTATCCCTTTAAGGTTGGTTTTTATTTAATAGCTTGTTTCTCAACCATCCTCCAACTTTAAAATTGTCAAAATAAATAACTATATAAAGATAATGACACACAATGTATTAAACGTCAAGGAATGAAAAATCAATTTATTTTAAATTGATAAGATTGCTGCAAGTCATCAAGAAATTAGGACAAATAAAACAGGAGAATCAGCTTTTACCTTTTTAAAATACAGTTTAATTGTATTAAAATACTCTTAGAAATTCTGTAAATGGCAAAATAAAATGATTCTAACGAACTCGTGAAAAATATTTTGAACGTTCGATGTCAATATCAGTTTTTTAAAACCCAAAACCCAGGAATGCTAAACGCCAGGAAAGGTGATGATGGCATATTTGAGTGAGCAGCATGTCATTTTCTTGATAGGTTACACTGCGCTGAAATATTAGCTTTCCTAATTTCAGAAGTCCGTGATTGCGTATAGAAACGATGATATATATATTATAATTACTCATGTGTTGGAATGAAGTAAACTAAACTACGGGCTATTTAATTAAGATACTTTGGACTTACATGATGTATCGTAGAAGTTGTTTAAATCATGTACAATCTGACAAAAGAATCTTTAAGATATAATCTGATGATGATGATATATTGAAAGACTCTGCTAACAGGTTTAGCTAATGCATCATAATTTTATGTTAATAATAACTTATAATCACAAAAATATGACTGACAGTTATAATTACTATATTATATGTTATAGCTGAATATCTGCTTTAAATGCGTTTAACAATTTCATTGCGATGGTCTGTGCAAAGAATTAATTTATAGATTTATGAAAAATGTGTATTTGTAAGAACTATCTTTGTAAAAATTGTGCAATACAGTATTCAGTTTCAGATGAGACATGATTAAGGGTAAGCCTAAGGGGACCAATAACTTCAGTTAAAGACCAACACACCATCTTTGATACTAGAAAAAGGAAGATTTTAGAAATCTAGATATAAATGTAAATATGATGCTCTCTCTGTGTGGAAAAGAGACTGAATATGAAATACATTTCCCATCTAATTGTCCATTTCATTTATCAGAATGACAACATTTCTAGATCTACAAATGTGTAACACAAGTAATTCATGAATTATGACGACATATTGCTATGTTCGCCTGTTACAAAATTTTTGTATCCCACACAATTTTTTTTTCAATTTAGAAAACTACGAATAACTACGGGCTCTAAAATTATATGTATGTATTCTGGGTATGTATGTTTGTATCTACATGTATCAAGATGTGAGACACACTGAAATGTGTGAATATATACGTTTGTTTTGTTAAGTTGATGAATTGTAATACTTTTGTAATCTCTGCTCATGTTGATATATATGATTCATCTATGGATATAAATTCATTAAAATAAAATCACTTTAAATTTTCCTAACAGTGGGGAAACAAGACTTTATGACGACATAATATATGGAATTATGAAGAGGGAGAATATCATGATTTTATGATTCGGCAAAACGTGAAATAAAAAGAGTAAAAATTGCTGACTTTCCATTGGTAATTAATCATCTAAATTTTTAACTCATAAATGTTTAGTGAAAAAATGTAGATAAAAGTTTTAAATAGTTTAGATCTGGAAGGAATTTTGACGAGAAGTTTGAAAAACAAATGAAAAGCAGAACAGAAAATGAATCTGTACAACTAATACGCGTTAAAATTGTTAAAATCAGATATTTAGGCCAAAAGACGGGCTGATATTTCAGAACCCTGAGATACTCGTACTGTGATATATAGTTAGCTTCCGCTAGGAAGTCATTTATAATAAAAAGTTGATAGTATAACTTACAAATGTCGACATGATCGGGGCGTGGCAGTTACAATACCACACCCAGGTGATGAACTCCAGATCATCTCTTTCTTCTTCCCCAGGCTGCCCTGTGGCGAGGTACCCAAAAAAACCCTCACCCCATACACACACTAAATTAAAATCCGGCTTTCAAAAGCTAAGGTTAAGTTATAGTTGAATTATTGCATTTTATTGAAAAAAAATTGAAAGAGGGAAAGAGACAGAGTATTCGGCGTTTGAAATTTCGAAGTACAACCAACAACAATGTTTTTAAAATTGAGTGCGTAAGTTCCTACAAAGAATGACTTTCACAAATCTCATAATTCAGCAAATATTTCACCGCCTTCTACATAAATCACAACTATCTCGTCAATGTCGGTGGAGCTCATGTGACTGCTCGCGGACATAAAAATTTGCTGATTTTCCATTGGTCAATTCTTGGCATGGCGTAAATCAACTGTGGCTGTAGGAATATTTCACAGGAAATGGAATTACATAAGATGTTTTGTGTAATTAGGGAATAAGGGGGAGGTCTCTCGTCTCTTGTCGTTATAAGCGAGGAGCTCGGCCTTGCTGTAACATCGTCCAGTCGTCCTCTTGTGGACGCAGGGAAAATAAAAGGTAAGACGGACAACTTAGAAGTCGCTATATTCAGGGTTTATTTAGTACCTAATAAGCATATACTCGGTAAGGATGAGATATTCAAATATCTAATGTGCAGATGTTGGAATTCTAAGGGAATTTAGGTATGAATTGAATGGATAGGTCAACACGTGGAAACTTGTTGAGTAAATCTAGCTGATAAAGTGCTCGTTTCATAACGCGCTAAATATGCGCTAAATATATTGGAAAATAGCTGTGATTTTAAAACAATAATAGATATTTAGATTTATGCTACCGACACGGTGCACATCTAAGATACAAAAACTACCGTAGATTGCATTTCTTTTTTTATCGACCTGTTTCTGCTGCGACATCGTGACAATAATGATTTTCTTTGTACAGTTTGTGCGTCTAAATCGTTAACTAAAGAAAACAGGTGGCAAAGTTTTCCTTCCTTACTTTCACTGCAATTGCAAGTGATTTTCGGATATGAGTGATGTGGCCGAAAAGAGACCTGATTTTAATTATGAAACATCTACGAGTTATTTCTTAAAAGACATACAATTCAAACATAAAGGAATTTCTCATCTTCAATGTTTCGTTTTGAAACCCATTGAGGCAATTTTAACGTTTACAGCATATGTTATAATTGTAGATACGAAAAACTGTTCATGCATCGGCATCTAACTCTCTAACGTGCGCAGGAAATGGCGACAAAGAAGACTTGTACATGTAGGACCTGAATTAAAATATTAAATGATATCGATTCATTAAATCTGGGAATAGGACAAAGTGGATTATTAAAGGGAAAACCCACAGGTCTTCTATGTTGAGGAACAATTCAAGCTACCGGCGCTATATCTTATCCTTCTCTTCATTTCAGCATGGGTTCAAGTCATCGGATTATTGGCGTTCTCCTGGCGTTCCTGGGCGTGTCCATCCATCACAGCTCCGCCCAAAGTAAGTCACATGATAATGTATCACAGTTCACGTGATCTCTGACATTTGTGCGATTTCTGTAGTCGGTGCGTCGTGTGCGTTTTAAGCTTTACATCTGTACTGGTATGTCGAGTTCTCTCATTGAGCAAAACTGGCTGAAAACGAACATTCGTAGATGATTCAAAATCGTATGTTTTATGTAGGATGTATGAAAAGAGGACTTCCTCTACTGAAAATACACTGTGTAAATTCCATATTTAATATTTTAATCCTGAACATTGTTTGCTAGGAGCTATAATGAGATTTATACATATAACAGCTGTATAATTATGCAATACGCTGTATTTGACTGTTTTCACAATGACTAATTTTCGGCTTAAATTTAGGGTCTACATTTAACTTTTTTGTTTCGAATAAATACGGCGATTTTAAACTTGTACTAACAAACAAATAGATATATATTATTTGGATCTGAGACAATGATTATCATATAAAAAACTCGAACACACAGGACACTCCTTGAGCTTTAACTTTAAACTCGGCCCTGAACGAAATCCTTTTTTTTTTTTTTTTGTATTTTTAAACAAACATACTAACAGTATTCAAGTGTTATACTACTGTCAATATTTCCATGTATTGTTAACCCCCTCATGCAAAGGCTATCGTTAAGTTATCAGTTTGGGCACCAACTTTTCTTTTCGGTACATCATTCGTAATTAACACCCCATTCTCATAGATTAGATCGACCTACATTGGATCGACCTAACTCCCTGGGGGTTCACGCTAAATAGCTGTCAGCCGGGCGGACACGAAAGTTAATTACCCCTTAAAGCTTGTAGTAGGCGGGGACGGACACTTAAGGGGGATTATCTGACAGTAATCTAGTGAGACTCCCCGCGGTGATAGATCGATCTAAAAGTTGTGAGAACAGAGCCTAAGTCTCATAGCCAAAGTCTCGCCAAGACTACAGGGTGTTCCCCAAGTCAAGGCACATGGGAAATATCTACCTTCTGATATCAGGGCCCCCTTAAAACTGTACAAATTTAAATCACACTGTGGGGCCCTGTAGGAATTAGTGCACTTTAATGGTCTGGGATAATGTATCTATCTCACCCCCACCCGCTAGGAAATATCAGTATCTTTCCCGTGCCTATTATCGTTTGTTTCACAGATGATGAAAAACACAGCAACGAAATTACTTCCTGATAATTCAATGTTGTTCAGTTTTCTATTGAAAATACACAGGTATTCTGTCTTTAGACACACCATATTATATGTAAGCAAATAGAAGACAAACGTAACATGCTACTTTTTTCTTTCAATGTGAACGACGTTTATTTTCAATGCCAGCTCACTGCAGTCATAAACTATATAATTCATATCTCTCTCTCTCTCTCTCTCTCTCTCTCTCTCTCATGTTTAACCAACTCCCATTGTCATGAATACCAAAACATGACCTTACTGTGGTGAGTTTATCATTACAAATATAAATAAACAATTATTTTAGCTATTAAATCAATTATTTCTTTTCTTTTCCAGTTTTATGCTACAGTGACTTGGCCTGCACAAGTACTGTGACTATCCCAGGCGCCGACTTCGCCGGGTTAGCGCCGTCAGTGAGAAGTTGTTGTCAAGAAAATGGTGGAACAGCTTTAAAAGTGCTCACGTCTCCTACCGCATGTCATCCTTGTAGTGAAGGTAACAGTCCGCTCTCTCACTGTGTAATTAGTTTAAATGATTTTTAAGACGGAGGATGAGGAAGAAAACCAATAAATAAATAAATATTTAAACATTAATAAATATTTGAATAAATAAAAAGAAAAGAATCTAAGGAAAGGGGAAAGTAAAAGAAGTTGAATAATTTGAAAATCTTGGAAATGAATTACTCAGTTTGCCGTGTTTTATGAGGATGTGTTTCTAAAGTGTTCTGCAGTACTTTCCCAGCTTCGTAGAAAAGAGAGCTATCTCAAATAATGGTGTTTTTATCTCTTTGACAGATCCGTGCGCATATTGTACCAATGCCCCCCAGATCGAGGCTACAGCCGACACTACCGATCTTCTGGAGGATATTACATTAGACTGTGGCGAACCCTTCCCACCCCTGCCGAACGTTACCCTGAACGCTGTGTGTGCCGATGTGGCCGACCTGCAGATCACGACCTCCGACCCTGGTGCAACTGGCCTACAGTGCGATGTCAGCTACACTCGAACTTATATTTCATCGGACGTATGCAACAACCAGCAGACCACCCCTCAGTCCATACGTTACATAGCGTCGACGCCGCCGGTCCTTTCAAATGTCCCGGCAGATGTCACTGTAGCCTGTGAGACGGATGCAACATTAACCGCCCCGTCAGCGACGGGAACCTGCTCCGCAGCCAACGTCACACTCATCGCCAGCAACACTGAAGTTGACCCAGCATGTCAGTACAACAAGGTGATCACGAGCACCTGGGAGGCCATAGACGGCTGCGGCCTGACCAGCAACGTAAGCGCCTCTGTCAATGTTAGTTATGAGAACGCGCCAACCCTCGTTGGCACACTGACTGACCAAACTATTCTTCTCAATGAGCAGTGTGATAACGTCCCTTCCGTACCAGTCGTCACCGCCACGGGTTACTGTGGCAACAGCGTCACCGTAACAAGCACGGAAACCACGTCCAACGTCCAGTGCCAGAATAAATACACACTGACCAGGACGTTCTCCTCCACCGATGACTGCGGACGCACCACCACCGCCTCACAGAATATCCAGGTGACGTCGGTGTTTGCGCCCACATTCGACACGTTTCCAGAAGACATCACAATCGCGTGCAACACCAACGCCAATGTCTCTTTCCCAGAGTCCAACGTCACCGCCACGGGTCACTGCGGCGTCCCAGTCAACGTCACACAGACCGACGCGGTGGTCACAGGGGACTGTCCGGAGGACATCACCATCTACCGTACCTACCAGGCCACAGACGAATGCGGTCTCCTCGCACAGCGAACCCAAACCTTCCGGGCCAGCCCGGCTAACTTGGCCTTCACCTACGTCCCCGGTGACGTCACGGTGGCGTGCGGGACTGATATCAGCAACCTTGCTAACACGGGCGGCGTGGCGGTGGCTGAAAACGCCTGTGATGAGCGCGTTAATACCACGTACTCGGACGCCGTGGGGGGCACCGCGTGTAACCAGGCAGTGGTCAGAACTTGGACGACTTCACAGAGTTGTGGATTAGCGGTCAGCGTTGACCAGGCCATCACTGTGGCTTTAACGGCGTCTCCGTCCATTACCCCACCAGCTGACCGCAGTAACATAGACGTCTGCCCCAGTGATACCTTCACCCCTAGCGAACTCGGCGACACACCCACGGTCACCGGCAACTCCCCCTGCCACAACGTGAACGACTTCACTGTGGAATACGCCGACACGATAGTTACCGAGAACCCCACCGCCGGAACCAGTACAATCAGAAGAATGTGGACGGCCACGGACCAGTGTGGGAACAGCGGCACCGGCGAGCAGATCCTTGGCATCAGAGTGAAACAACAGCCAACGCTGGCCCTGGACCCGGACCAGTTCATCCTCACGTGCACCAGCGTCTCCGAGGTCTTAGACCAGACCCAACCACAGGTGGTGAACAGAGGGGGTGGAGACGCCGCCATCATTGAGACGGTAGAGACAACCGACAGCTCCGTCTTCCAGCAAGCCTGTTCTGGCCAGCAAGTGACCAGGACGTTTCAAGTGACCCTGGAGTGTGGGTACACCCAGACGCTATCTCAGGTGGTGACAGGTAAGCTTTCAAACAGATTTAAATAAAGTAAATTATGAAAGACGAGTGTGACACGGGTAGACTATTGAGTGCGATTTTTTGGTAGATTTTTGGAACGTAATTGTTTTTTTATGTTTGTTTGTTTGTTTGTTTGTTTGTTTGATTTCTCTTCATTAATTCATATGTCCATCTGTTTATTTATCCATCTGTGTATTTATCAATCCATGCATTGATTTGTTCGTTCCTCTTCTCTTTCGATCATTCATCCATAACTGCTCGTTGGTGCAACTTACACAGATTGAATGAGCAGTGTACCACAACGCGAAATGACAAAAATACTTTAAATGCTTTCTTAAGGCTTATATTATCTAATAGATATAATTGGTATTATAGCAATATTGCTATACAAATTTAAAGTGTAAGCTTTTTGTTCCAGCTATGGCCCAGGCTACCAGTCCCCCGGTCAACCCGCCTGCCGTCGTCGTCCCTCCTGCAGACTGTATCGTCTACACCCACTTCCTGTACCCAACACCAGGCGGAAGACGCTTCCGCTACGGCTTCCGGTCACCAGGTGGAACTCTGTATTTCTTTACCCCTGGCGGTAGGTTCACCCTGGCATACCCAGGCTTCGGAAGCGGTGTCACCATCCCGACCGGCTCTGGTGACGGGCTCATCTATGCCGTCGTCAATGAGAATGGGCAGGTGCGCTACGCTTTCCGCAACCCCAACGGACAGATCAACTTCCTCTCAACGTACCCCGCCCCTGGTGGTGGCAATCGCTACGGCTACGAGGACTTATCTGGAGCGACCCAGTACGTCTCCCTGCCTCCTGCGGGCGTCCTTGTCATCCCCACTCTCAGCGGAGACCCGGTCCTCCGTCCCGATGGCGGGTACCGTCTTGGCTACAGAACCCCCGATGGTACCCTCTTCGACCTGACAGCCAGTGCTAATGCGGACGGCCTGATTAGATACGGCTACCAAATCCCCAACGATGGAATACAGTTTATCAACATGCCCTTCACGACGTTGCTGAACCTCCCGGAGATTAACGGCGGTCTGGTGTACGGGTACCGCACCCCTGATGGCGTCGCCCATATCGTTAAGGAATTCCCCATGAGTGACGGCACAGTGCGCTTTGGCTACGAGAACCCGGATGAAACGATCACCTATCTCCCTGTACCACAGAACGGCATCCTAGCTGTCCCAATCCCCGGCGGAGGGGTCAGGTTCGCCTTCCGCACCCCACAAGGTGCCCTGTACTACCTCGTCCCCTTCCCGACCTCCGATGGCAGAGTGCGTTACGGCTATCAGACACCAGAGGGTACTGCTAGATTGGTGGACCTACCAACAACGGGGCTCATCGCCATGAAGACCCCGAGCGGAGGACTCAGGTACGTGTATCGTTCACCAGAGGGCACCCTATACGATGTCTCCTCCTACCCCAGCCAAAACGGCATGACAGTCTATGGTTACCGCTTTCCGAACAGCGCCGTCAACTTCCTGAGCCTGCCCGAGAATGAGATGATCGTGATGACGAAGCCAGGCGGCGGGCTGCACTACACCTTCCGCTCGGCCGATGGGGTCATTCACGACCTCCAGCCCGTGCCAAAACCAGATGGCTCCATGACCTACGGGTACCCCACAGCTGGCGGTACCATGCAGACCGTGCCCAATGCCCCGGATTCCGACAGCCCATTCCCTCTCATGGGCAGTGGAATTTTCGCCGTTGTCCAAGACGGCACAGTGCGGCTAAGGTATGTTGCTCTAGATGGCCAAACCTATGACCTGAATAGATCCCCCGTACCTCAGACCAACTCAGTGCGCTATGGTTACACCGACGGCGACGGAGTCTTCCAGCACGTCCCCATGCCAACCATCGGTATAATGGCACTGCCAACAGTCGATGGCAATATACAGTACATCCATCGTGCTCCCAACGGTGAGGTGACCCCAGTTGAGGAAATCGTCAACCCCGACGGCACCGTATCTTATGGAGTCAGGAGACCCGACGGCAGCACTCTCATCATACAGATGCCCAAGAACAACGTGATGACGGTGCCCTTCCCCGGCGGAAGTTCACTATACACCTACCGCCAGCCTGGAGGACAGATGATCTTCCTTCAGCCCTTCGCTTCATCTGACGGCGGCGTGCGCTACGGTTATTCAGCACCAAATGGCGACACTGTCACCATCCCCATCCCATTCAACGGCATCAACACCGTGGCCACCCCAGGGGCGCCCGGTGGGGAAACAACTCTCGTGTATCAAACGCCAGAAGGACCACTGAAGCCAATGGTGGCCATCTCGCAGCCTAACCCAGAGGCTCCAGGTTTTGTATCCTACACCATTGAGATCAGCCCCGAAACCTATGTGGACATCCCCATGACCCAGAGTGGCACCACCGGCATCCCACAGCCTGATGGAGTCACCCAAGTTGTCTACAAGTCACCAGAGGGCACCATCTACCCGCTGAGGCCTTTCAGGCAGCCTGACAATACCATCCAGTACGTGTTTGAGAAACCGGACGGATCCGTGCAGTACGTCAAGATGCCAACCACTGGTGTCTTTACCGTTCCCCTTCCCGGATCCGAAACGACCACACTCTACAGGGCCCCATCCGGTGAAGTGAACCCGTCATCTGCCTACCCCACCTCAGACGGTGGTATCACCTACGGCTACACAACCCCCGAAGGCACAGTGAATCCAGTACCAGCGGATTCTTTGCCAGGTGGTCCCCGACCTGCCGGATTACCTGATGGCGTCATTCCCTTCATCAGCCCAGATGGAACAATTGTGTTCGGATTCAGGACCCCCACCAACACTTTTACCTACCTGACGCCTTTCACTGACCCTCTCACGGGCACCGTGAAGTATGGATACAGAATGCCAGAGAACGGAACAATTGTGTACGTCGAGATCCCGCGTCTACCAGGTCAACCGGATGCAGAACTACCAGATGGTGTCTCAGTGGTGATGAATCCGGATGGGACCATCACATACATCTTCTTTGCTCCAGATACCAGAACCTACGTACTTGTCCGTACCGTGAATCCGGTCACTGGGCTGATCACGTTTAGCTATCGCACACCTGAAGGTCTCACTTACTTCGTCCCTGTCCCAGGTATGCCTCTACAACCCGGGCAGAATGTCATGCCAGGAGAACCACGCGATCTTCCGGATGAGGGTACCGTCACCGTGGTCCTCAACCCCGACGGCACAGTCACCTACGTCTACACCTCACCGGATGGAAACACGTACTCGCTCACCCCTTACCCTAACCCTCTGGGCGGCATCCAGTTTGGTTACCCCAATCCCGACGGTACCGTCACGTACGTGCCAGTAGACCAGGGCACTGGACCCATGGGCCCCTTCCCGCCAGGTGTGACCACACTAATGAACCCTGATGGCACAATAACTTACCTGTTCACAGACCCTAACGGAAACACCTTCACACTGACCCAGTTTACCAACCCGGCCACGGGAAGACTGCAGTACGGCTACCGCTCACCAGATGGCACCATAATCTTTGTGGACTTGCCAACCACACCTGGTATGAATTTCCCAGAAGGCGTCACGGTCCTCCGTAACCCAGACGGCACCGTGACTTACATCTACAAGGCACCAGATGGCAGCACGTACACTTTGACCCAATTCAACAACCCAACCACCGGGCAGCCGGAATACGGTTATCGTAACAGCGATGGAAACATCATCTTCGTGCCCATCCCCACGGATCCGGGAACCGGTCAACCAGGAAACAACTTCCCACAGGGAGTGACCACGATAAGAAACCCTGACGGCTCCGTGACCTACATCTTCAAGGATTCCGACGGTAACCTCTACCCCCTGTTGCAGTACATTGATCCCTTCACTAAACAGCCCCAGTACGGATACCGTGCCCCTGACGGCACTATTCAGTACGTCAGAATACCAGGACAGCCTAGCCAGCCTGGCACAGGCGGGAACCTCCCCACTGGAGTGTTCCCTGTCCAGAACACCGACGGCACTGTTGGCTACATCTACAGAGATCCTAATGGCAATCAGTACACCCTAAAACGCTACGTCGACCCCCTTACTGGTCTGGTTCGATACGGTTATGTTGCTCCCGACGGAAGCATCAGATACGTGCCAGATGACCAGACTCCAGAGGATCTCCCCGACGGCGTCACAAAGAGAGAAAACCCCGACGGCACAGTCACTTACACATACAGAGACCCTAACGGCAACACGTACGTTGTTAACCGTTTCGTCGATCCAAACACTGGGAAAGTCAGGTTCTTCTACACCACCCCTGACGGTCAAACCAGGTACGTCCCTGATGATGATGATGAAGATGATTTACCAGACGGTGTTTCACCGATAGAGATCCCTGGTGTGCCAACAACCTACATCTATAGAGACCCCAACGGCAATGTTTACATGGTCAACAAGGTGACGGATCCAGTGACTGGCAAGGACAGGTTCTACTACACCACACCTGATGGTCAAACAAAGTATGTCCCTGACGGACAACGAGAACCGGATGGCAACTTACCAAGAGGAGTGACCGCCACCCGTAATCCGGACGGCACCATCACCTACACCTATCGAGATCCGTTTGGCAATACCTACCCTGCCACCCGCTTCGTTGATCCGATGACCATGCAGGTGAGGTTCCTTTACACCACCCCTGACGGCCAGACCAGGTACGTACCAGACCAACCTGACAGTAATCTCCCGGCAGGTGTTACTAGGAGACAGAACCCAGACGGGACCGTCACTTACATGTACAGGGCGCCTGACGGTAATACATATACACTGACCCGCTATGTTAACCCGATCACTGGCCAGGTACAGTATGGCTATCGCACCCCAGATGGACGCATCGTGTACGTTGATATCCCAGATGAACCTACGCGACCAACGCAGGCACCGAGACCAAACCCTAACGTCCCCTTTGGTGTGTCACCTATCACAAACCCAGATGGTACAGTCACCTACGTGTACAAGGCCCCAGACGGCAACGTTTACCCTCTGTCCCAGTTCATCAATCCCGCCACAGGGCGACCGCAGTACGGGTACCGCACATTGGACGGCAGGATCATCTTTGTTCCGACTCCAACTCAGCCCAGCACTCCAGGCAGCCAGCTCCCAGGGTTGCCAGGATTTGTGGTCATTCCAGGGTTCCCCGGTGTGCCAGGCATCCCAGGAATTCCAGGATATCCAGGATTCCCAGGAGTGTTTCAACCATTGTTCCCCGTACAGCAACCCCAGACAGGAATTCCCGGCATCCCAGGTTTCCCCGGAATTCCAGGATTCCCGTCCGCCCAACCAATATTCCCTGGACAACAGGCAGGAATTCCAGGTTTCCCAGGATTCCCAGGAATTCCTGGATTCCCATCTGCCCAACCAATATTCCCTGGACAACAGGCAGGAATCCCAGGATTCCCAGGATACCCAGGAATCCCAGGATTCCCATCTAACCAGCCAATATTCCCTGGACAACAGGCAGGAATTCCAGGTTTCCCCGGATACCCAGGAATTCCAGGTTTCCCATCCAACCAACCAATATTCCCTGGTCAACAGGCAGGAATTCCAGGGTTCCCAGGATTTCCCGGAATTCCAGGATTCCCATCCGCCCAACCAATCTACCCTGGCCAACAGGCAGGAATTCCAGGATTCCCAGGCTTCCCTGGCATTCCTGGTATTCCATCTGGACAAGGCGGATTGCCTGGATTCCCCGGATATCCAGGTATCCCTGGATTCCCTAGTTCCGTACCTTATCCTCTTGGTCCGAATCCTCAACCACGTCCAAGGCAGCCGAGCACAGGTATAATCATTCCTGACAGCAGTGGACGCCCAGGTGCTGTTATTTACCCACTGGAGCCCCAGGGGCCCGCAGTCGACCCACGAAACCCGTACCAGCCCTCAGGCATCCCAGGATTCTCCTTCTTACCAGGATTGCCCGGCTTCCCAGGAATTCCAGGAACCCCAGCTTTCCCTGGCACAAATGGCGGTTATCCAGGTATCCCAGGTATTCCTGGAATTCCGGGTTACCCAGGAGGCTACAGTCTGCCAGGAGGCGGTATTCAGATTCCAGGTTACCCAGCTCTTCCGGGTGTTCCCAACACTGGATACCCAGGGTACCCCGGCTTGCCAGGAATTCCTGGAATCCCAGGGTACAACGGCTACCCAAGCAGCCTGCCAACCACCGGCACTCCATTCCCGGTCACCAGCCCTGACGGCCGAACACTGTACGGGATCCGTCTGCCCGATGGAACCATCATCTATGTTGTGGCTGCCCTGCCAGGTATGCCAACAATGCCAACTACCCCAGGTGGCGGCATGCCCACTCCCGGCACCATACCAACACGTGGTCCGCAGACCTGTGAGGGTGTGTACGCCGTGCCCGACCCCACGGGACAGCCCCACACCGTCACCTTCGTGTACAGGACATCCGACGGTGCAGTCTACAACATGGCGTCTCAGTTCCAGAACGACGGCACCGTGGTCTACTCCTACAGGTCGGCCACCGGAACCACGCGCTACGTGCCCCTGCCCTCTTCCGGTCTGATCGCGGTCCCTCTGGCCAGCGGTGAGGCCATGCAGCTGATCTACCGCCAGCCGAACTCCTTCATGCTCCCAGTAGTCATGATGAACATGTATGGTGGACAGGTGCAGTATATCTACTACACCTCCTCGGATACCATAGAATACCTGGATATCCCATCTAACGTGATCCTGGAGATGTCTACCCCCTGCGGAGGGATCCGGTACGGCTACAGACCCAACGGAGGCCAGATCCGGCTGCTCCAGGGCTTCAATGCCAGTCCAAACGGCGCCGGGCAGTTCAGATACGGCTATCTCGATAACAACGGTAACATCCAGTATGTGCTGAACTACAATTCCTACCTCGCCCCAGACTACGGCTTACCGCTTAACTTGGGATATACCAATGATGGTATTATTGCATCTGCAGCCTTCGCCGCCGGAAATGGTAATAACATGAATGTCCAAGTTCCTGTCGGGCCCCCCGCCCAGCAACTTCCGGTCAGACAACCGGTCAACGCTAACCCTTATTCCGGACTACAGGGGTACATGTCTCTCTTGGACAGCTTGGGATTCGGCAGAATGGCTAGAAGTGGCTGAACACTTCAACAGACTCCTACATATTTTCTATTAAAGTGAAAGTGAAAGTATATATTTGTCTGATGAACTGTAGATTTTGATTTTGATATTTAATATGCAATCATAGTGTAAAAAATTTACACTTTGTGATATAATGCTAATATTGTTTCTATTTGCATCACTTGGGCTAAGCAACTTACAATTGTAAGATAAAGAGTAGTTTGAAATACTTCCGACAGTGAACCAATCAAGAGAAAGAACATATTACTATTTATATATTTCAAGTCATTTTATAATGTCCTATTTTTACGTAGAATGATACTCGCCTATTGTATGGTCAAAGAAAAGTAAAATTTGAAATCAAAATAATTTTTCTGCTTTGTAATATCTCTGTCGGTTTTTACATATGAACATATTTTACTTGCGAGTTACGTTCTATTAAAATAAAGCTTTAGAATCTAATTTGCATACTTTGTTGTTTTTTATTTAATTATAAAAAGGTGTGAAGAAGGTTTTTGCAAATCAAATATACAAGAAGTACTGTTTAAACTGGAAAGAAAAACAAAAACGGTAAAATAAAACTGTTCGTTGGCTATATTTTGTGTTACGTGACTTTTGACGTGAAAATTATCCATTGCATTTCCAGACATTTTACTCAAAGTACATGCCAAAAAATATCCACACTGTAAACAAAGCTTCTTTCTACGTATTTATATATTTATTTATTCACCGCGTGCACATTTCTGTCCATCCTTGCCAAGTTTGTGTCTTTAGTAATGTCCCATACCTTACCAATATAATTACCAGGCAAACAACCCCGACCGACGGGAACGCCGACATGTTTTTAACAATCTCACTGCCGACGTCCCGCGTATCAGAAATTACTGGAAACATGCCTCCATTTTAGCAGTAATTGTTGTACACAGCAGAGTTATTGTAATAATTGAAACGAGTTTTCAGAAATCTCTGAGACTCGGAGTGGTTTTGGAAACAGCAGAGGAATACTGACAATAGAAACGAGTTTCAGAGTTTCTAGTAATATTTGTATTTTCGGATACTTATAATGTGGAAATTATCATGTGACAACCCTCGTCCACTCTCCCCCTCCAACACACACACACACACACACACACACACACACACACACACACACACACACACATTGTGTCCATCTAATTTCAGTCAACCTCAAATGAGAATACCATGGAAGGAACACGACCCCGACACTTTCTGAAGCAAATTATGTGCAAACTTAACGCAATAAGATTTCGTGAAACATGAACAACACTGTAATTGTAAACTGATTTATTTGTGAATCCAAGAGTATTTTCAATAATCACTTATAATAACCGAAAAAACAATCTATCTCCGTTCATCCCTTTCAACTGTGTCATTTTCAGGTGTAACCTTATGGAATCAATTCAGTTGTTCTATTATACTAGCCTTTTCGATATTACTTAATGTAAGTCACATCAACAGGCATTTAATTACTTCGAGAATTTAAGAAGCAATGGGCATTTGAATTCAACCCACAAAATAAAAAAAGTACCACTTATAACGCGATAGATGTACCGAACGTAATAAGGTGCTTGGATAATACCGGTAAACCATTATCTGCAGTTAAAAAAAAACAAATGACAATTGTACAAGTTTTTACTAAGAAACACGTGTTGAAGAGCATTATTTGAATAACATGTTGGAGATGTAAATACATGATGAGCGATAGGTGCAGTAATACATACGGTAAGAGAGTGTGACCATGTGTGTAACGCCTCTCCCCCCCCCCCCCACCCCGCCCGTCCTGTATTTCATCAACTTTCTCACTGTCTTTCGTTTTCATTTTTCTCTCATTTTCCCTCCTTCTCCCCCCCCCCCCATCCATTCTCTCTCTCTCCCTCTCTCTCTTTTCTTTCTCTCTCCCATCTCTCACCTCCCCCCTCTCTCCCCCCTCTCTTTTTCTCTCAGTACCTCTTCCCTTACAGCCCCCGGTAGTATACCCGTAGGTACTGTCATTACAACATCAGAGAAAGGGCGTGGCCCTTACCTTATCTATTTCCTTTCATCCTCACACCTTCCACTCCATTAATAAATACCAAGCAGAAACCACCAAACCATGAACCGGAGGAAGTTTTGAATTATTCGGTTGGTAAGACTACAAGACTAATGACTTCAGGGTCAGTAATTCACTGTCATTGTTACCAAGTGTTTGTCCTAGTGGACGAACTTTCTGTCAGTATTTTAACTCTTAATGACATCATTAAGTATGATGTACAGTCAAGGTAGGAACAGGCACCAGTATGACAAGAAATATGACCGAGCTTTGGAACGCTATTGTCTTCATTAATTACCCGATACAATCAATATGCGGCCGACCACTGGGTTTATCCGCCCTAACTTCGTGATGACACGAGGCCTAATGATGTAGATTGCACGCGCCGATACTTCTTCACCAATACCAAATATTCGTGAGTCACTTCTTCCAGATCTCCTCCTCCTGATAAACTGGACTCATTTTTTAATTGGGGAGTCAAGTATCTGGAGTACACATTTAGAAATTCGTTAATGATAGCGACAAACGCTCACCACTGGTAAGTTTAATCTATAGGTAGGCCTACTTAAGTTTTAAAATATTGTTTGTTTCTATTACGACAAAAAAACGTACTTAAAACACCTTGTGAATTGTTTAATTAAAATGACAAGGCAACCGTTATTTTCAGTTTCATGGTAATTCATTTCTAAGTTTATTTCAACATGTACATTTATATTTTCACTCTGGGTTTGGTCTTTTTAGTGTTCAACATTTAGCTAACAATATTTTTCTATAATTGTATATTAACTCGAGCTTTTTGGGCTACAAGTTACCTAATGTTTACATGTATATCTGACTGTACATAGTTTATACAACTTACAACCTGTATGACTTTGACATACATTTCAGGTAAATTTATTATTATTATATTTGAGGCTCTTTTTCAAAATGGCGGCACTTACCATGGAGTCTGTAAAGGTGGTTTTCTGGCTGATTTTTTGGAGCAGCGTCCCCGCCGTGATAGCACAGCGTAGGTGGCTTCTTGTTTGTTCCTTTTTCATTTTACTCGATTCCCCCCTCTCTCTCTTCCCTCTCTCTCTCTCTCTCTCACACACACACACACACACACACACACTGATCTCTTAAATTAAAACGTAATCTCAACTGAGAGAACAGTTTCATTAGCTCTGTATGTATCAATTTAAATTATTTTTTTTATCAAGAGCTTATAAAATATGTGGGTATTACCTTCAATATTTCTGTGACTGTCAGTCACCATCATCAGGGAGTAATCTCAACTGACTTAATTATATAATTTCGCTTTCTTTCCACAAGTTAACAATTTTTTATACTTACTCGCTTTGACGATATCTTTGACGATATCAGGTCAGATATTTAGAACAGTGTCTTTACCAAATTTTACGAGGAGGCTGGTGGGGGTGTGGCGATGAAAAGGGGACAAAGAAATGTTTTAACTTTTATCTCTCATCTATAAATAAATAAATAAATAAATAAATAATGTTGTTTTCAAGTATATATTGACGAGTATCTAATTTGTTTCTGTCGTTTGATTGTCAAAAATGGAGGATGGATGACCAAAGATAATATGGAAGTCTGTCATAAATTTATCTCTGGATCCGCCCCTGAAATAAATAAATAAATAAATAAATAAAATTGTTTTCTCTTTATTTATCGATGATTCGATTTCAGAATTCGTTTGTTATACCACATCGTCCTGTGAGGTGGAAGTAGACACCCAGAATTCTAAGATCTTTGGCGGTGTGTACAGTGTGCGGGAGTGCTGCCAGGAACATAACGGCACAGGGTGGAGGGCTCTGCTGGAAATGAACACGTGCGGGTCATGTAAGGGTGAGTACGTCGTACAAACAAGCTCGAGGCCATAGGCAGTTCAGTAATACCGTAATGATGAGATGTCGAGAAACCACATTGTCTCTCAGATGGTGATATTTGAGTTGGAGGTCAGGAGTCGGACTTTCCATTGTAATGTCATATAAGGACGACGGCAAAAACAAATCAAGCTCCTTGGATGTATATCAGCAATACATATTTTTATTCATCCATTACATTTCAAATTTGTCATTTTATTAGTGTACCTTATCAATTGTGGCCTATTTGTGGCCTACTCTGAAATTGCTTGCAATTAATTATTACTGGTACTCTAATAAAATCAATTTACCTGGATATTATATTATATTATATTATAACACATGATTAGAAATGCATGTCAATTGTACAAATATAATCCATCCACTTTTAATATTTTAATAATTTATTAAAATGAATAATTTAAGGCAGAAATTAAGCTTTAAGAGGATTTAAAATTTCCTCTATAAATAGTGTCTATCTTTTCAACTGATAACGAATGTCATTTTAATGATATCAATTATTCGGTTAGAACGGAAATAACTACGCATCTTTTTGGTTTTAGACCCCTGTGCTACTTGTAAAATACCGCCAAAAATGCAAGACCCGCCAGATGACACCACCGTCGCTTGCAACAACATCCCAGAGGCTCCTCTTGGCATCACGGGACTGGAGACCTGCAGTCCTATAACCAAGGCGGGATACCAGGACCTTCCCACTGTGATTTTCCAGTGTTCCTACACTCTCCGCCGACAGTTTTTCTCGTATGACGAATGTAACGCAAAAGGATACGCCGTACAAGAGATCGTTGTAACCGCCGCGCCGCCAATAGTCACAGCCCCAAGTGCCGCCCAAATAAGCGTCTGCCCAGGTTACGTCATCGAGGCTGATAAAACTGGGACTCCCATAGTCCAAACGTGTGACGTCATTGCCAATAACTTCACTGTCGACTACAGCGATTTAGTAACGTCAGAAGATGTCACAAACTGCACAAAGACAATCCGACGTCTGTGGTCGGTTGAAGACGAGTGCGGTGCTGTCGTTGAAGCTAACCAGACGATCTTCGTGGACGTTCCACCTCTGACAATCAACGCCCCACCTGTGGCTAATATCACCGCGTGCCTAGACGACTCTATTTATGTCAACCAAACTGGAACGCCAGTCGTACAATCGTGTGCTGAAATTGAAGATGCTCTTAAAATTGAATACCAAGACGCTGTGGTCAATACACAAACCTGTCATAAAACTGTACAGCGAACTTGGACAGTGAGTGACCAGTGTGGCTCCAGCGTTACTGCTGATCAGAAGATCGTCGTAACTATCCCTGCACCAAACGTCCAACCACCAGGTGCTGCTGAAGTTGCAGCTTGTCCGGGGGAGGTTATAGGAACAGCCAAAACTGGTCAGCCAATTATTCAGTCTTGCCAGTCCAGCACAGGAACCATACACATTGAACACAACGACACTGTGATATCAGAGAATTCAACAAATTGCCGGAAGACATTACAGAGGCGCTGGACTGTGTCTGACGGATGTGGTGCCCTTATCACCACCGACCAGACCATCGTGGTGAATCCGGTGGCACCAGAGCTAGAGGCACCCAATGATACAGAAATCACCGTGTGTCGAGGAGAATCACTTGATGGCTATGACACAGGAAAACCCGAGGTCCTTTCCTGCTCCAAAAATATCACAGTTGTCCACATGGACAAAGTTGTCAAGGAAGATGACGCAACTTGCAGACGGACGATCCAAAGGACATGGCTGGCATCTGATGAGTGTGGGTATGAGGTGGAGGGGGAGCAACTGATCTTGGTGAACCCAGCTCTGCCGACAATTACAGCACCTCTGGATACTGAGATCACCATCTGCCGAGATGAGGACCTGCACAGCAAGGAAACTGGAACCCCAACCTTCCAGTCTTGTAATGCAAATGCCACTCTCAGTACTAACTACACAGATTTTGTCATATCACATAACAACCAAACCTGTCAAAAAACTGTCCGTAGACAATGGATGGTGACAGATGAGTGCGGCTCAAGTGTGACGGATGATCAACTAATAACCGTCAATCACAAGCCACCAACTGTTCTGGTTCCAGTGGATGCAGAGATCACAACTTGTGATGGTGATGTCATTGGCACAGAGGTAACTGGTTCCCCAACTGTGCTGTCTTGTAATTCAGACACAAGTAATATTACGGTGGATTATGAGGACACTGTGATGTCCAAGAACAACCAAACCTGTCAGAGGAAAATCCAGCGAAGGTGGACAGTCATAGATGAATGTGGGTCCACTGTTGTTGTTGATCAGATTATCTTCGTCAATGTCCAACCTCCAACAGTTGTTCCACCTGCTGATAGTGACGTCACAGCTTGTCCCGGTGAAAGTATAGGCACTTCCAGAACTGGCAGGCCAACAATTAGGTCTTGCCACCTCGATGCCAATAATGCTACAATGGATTATGTGGATACCATCTTATCAGAGGAGACTGACACTTGCCAGAAAACAATTCAGAGACGTTGGAGTGTTGTTGATGACTGCGGCTCCAATGTATCAATGGATCAGATTATAACGGTGCTTCCAGCACCACCTAGTGTTGCTCCCCCTACTGACATCCAAGTTGCTGCTTGTGATGATGATGTTATAGACACTGACCGATCTGGGGTCCCATCAGTCCATTCCTGCAATCCAAATGCAACCAACACAGTCAACTTTGTTGATAGTGTAATATCAGAAAACAACCAAACCTGTCAGAGGACTATACAAAGACAATGGACCACGACTGATGAGTGCGGAGTCAGTGCATCTGCCTATCAGAATATCATCATCAAACCAGTGCTGCCATCTATCATTGCACCTGCTGACACTGAAATCGTGATCTGTCCAGGAGAGGTCATAGATGTCAGTAAGACAGGTGAGCCTACTGTAGTACCTTGTAGTAGCATGGCCGGGGATCCAGTAACGGACTACACAGACACAGTGGTGTCTGAGAACACGACAGCTTGTCTCAAGACCATCCAGCGATGGTGGACAGTGTCCGATGGGTGCGGTCAGAGTGCCCATGCTGATCAATTGATCCGTGTCACAGAACTCAAGGCACCGGAGATAACCATCAATGACGTAGTTCAGGCCAGGTGTGAAAACTTGGCTGAACTCCGCCCGATGTACAACCCCACCATGACACAGAGCTGCTTCACTGATTTACTCATGGTGCAGTCGATTTTAACTGAAATAACACCCGAGGATATATTTGATGGTCCCTGTGAAGAAATATCCTTTCAAAGAAAATGGAAGCTGGACAATAACCATTGTTCCAACCAGTCTTCTGTTGTTCGACAAGTTGTGCAAGGTATGTCAGGTTTTGCTAACTTCTTGTAGGGATGCAGAACTTTTAAAGACTGTCAACAATTGTAAACAAAATATTTCCTTGATTTTATATTTATTTTATATTGTGGAAAATCAATATAAAACTCAGCTGTTATTTATCATACATTGTGTTAACACCTTTTCATCTGCATTTCAGTGCTGCCAGCAGCAGTTCCAACTACAACCACCATGTCTACCCTCCCTCCGACAACTTCCACTGTCACAACCACTACTGCTTTCAATGCTCCATCAGCCACATCAACCTTCCATCCAACAACTATGACATCCAAGAAAACCAGTTCTGCCAAACCATCTACCACATCAACTGTTCCAACCTCAACCACCCCAACCACTGACCCACACACCACACCAGTAAACCCTGCAGCATCTCTACCATGGAGACAACCAGGAAGACCGCCTCATATGAGAGACAGCATGTTTGAAGGTGTAGACCTTAGCCCTGAACTACCACCCGAGTTAAGCCAGGCTAAAGTGACGGCCATTCCAACCCCTGCCAGACCAGACTCTGGAGTGACTATGTCTATAGGAATGCCTAAGCCAGAGGAGGTGCCTCCTCCTGTACAACCAATTCAAGGCTTCAGAATTGGTGGTGTTCTTCTGCCTTCCTCGGCACAAGAGTTGTCTTCATCACAAAACTACCAGGATGACCAAGTGCAGCAAGAGGCCTTGACACCCACAGTGCAAAATACTCCTGGAACTCCCCAAAGCTCTGGAGAGCAAGTGTCTCAAGCTGGTGCCACTTCAAGTAATTCAGACAGACGGTTCCTGGCCACTCTGTTTGGTTCAGTGCCACAGCTAGGGAGACAATTACATAGTAAAACACCTCAGAATGACACATCTTCATCAAGGACTGGAAGCAGTGCCAGTGTTAGTTCTCAAAATGACTCTAACTCAGATTCGAGTGCACATGTTGGGGAATCATCCTTAACTGTTGGTTCTCAATCAGGCCAGAGAGGACTGTCTCAGGTGTTTGGAGGAAGTGGGCGAATTAGGGGGTTATTTCAAGGTAGAAGGTAGAGTTAGCCTATTACATCATACAGGGTTTTGATGTCTGAAAGGAGTGTGATGTCATAATCAAAGGACTGTGACATCACATTATATTTTTCTACCAAAGTTTTCACTTTTTTATTTCTGTGAAAGAAAAAATATGCAGCATTTTTCAAACTCCATTCATTTTTGAAGAGAAATCAATTTTATTCATAAATGTGAAGAATAAGGACCCAATATGCAGTATTTCAAAAATGGTAAAAATCAGTCACTATAGCCAAGGTAATATTTTTGGGAAATTACTTTTGTGTAGGACTGTTCTGTATTAAAGCAGTGGCATGTTTGTAAGTGTAACTTCAATGAGAGCACATGTTTGCAGTTTATTTAGTACATGTTGATGTTTATCTGCCGTGAAAACCACAGTGTTCGTCATGTTTGATGTCATCTTCACAACCCACAGGCCTTTAATGGATGTGAAGAGTATAGAGTAATGATATTAAAATTGGCACTGATGTTATCTGCAATGATGAGAGTATTCAACATATATTGGATGTTTGATTTATATAATAATTACAAATGACACTCATTGTACTTTTTATATATATTTGTGTCTGCCATTTTGAACAATTTTCTATGAAACCAACTCGATATTAATTTATTGCAAAATATTCTATTTGCTATAAGAAGGATATTTATTAAAATGGATGTGACTTGACTTGTATAATGAATAAATAAATACTAGTGACATTCATTTTATTTTTAATTTTTTGTGCCTAGCATTTGTTACATAATTTATACATAAAGAGCTATATTTAAAACAAAAACATTTTTCTAACATATTTCATACATTGTTCATATTACTGACCAAGTAAAATAATTTTGACCAAAAACTTAAAAGTATTTTGTTGTGAAAAAGAATATGCAAGCTAATTAGGAAAAAAAATGACCAGAAAAATATATAAAATGTCCTTCACCAAACAGGGTTAGCCATACTAATAATAAAAAACAGTTGAGTTTACGACTTAACACCATACAAAAATTATTAATTCAAAACTGAGATTTTTCTATTCCTGTCTATTTGAAGATAACCCTGAGAAATCCACAAGTGAAATACTGTCACTCCTGCTGATACTAAAAAAATGTTTTGTTAAAACAAAAAAAATATAGTATTGAGCCTTTTCTCTCCACATATAAATACCTCCATGAGTGACATACATTGTGCATGAAGGTTAAGAGGATTATAAGAATATGAACCCATCACTTCAAAAAACTTTATAAAGTCAGTCATCAGAAAGGAGGACACAATGTTGTCATATTCATAGCATTGAAAGGCCAGAGTAAGAATCCAAAATATCTACATATGTAAACTACATGTATAAATTTATCATAACCTTATACGTTTATATGGCCAGCAGATGATGAAGGAATACAAACCTTCCCTGGACTGTGAATAAGACTCTGCATGTTCATCACATTCCAAATCTAAATAAGCAATCATTGCATGAATGAATAAAAATAATTCAAATGTATGGATCGGTCTTCTGGTGCTTTTTTTAACACAAGCACACCAAATTACTTCTGTACGTTTGTGGATCAATAAATAATATATTTTGTCAACATTAACATTAACTAAAGACAACAATGGTCAGGTCTTACGTCCCTGTGATTTTTCAGCAAAGACCTGTAGCCCTTCTTGTAGCACTTGTAATGACATGCCATCTTTTGCATGGATGCAGGTGACACCTAGAGGCAAAAGTTAAAACTATATTAAGTGAAGAAGAAGGCAAACATAATTATACCATCAATTTAATTATATTAATATGGACATTTTTTTCATAAAGTTTCAAGATGAGCCAATTTCTATAGATATTTCTGTAAGGTCTACACATTTTATACAGATATTTACACTGGCCACTTCCTAGTCAATGTGTTCATGTACCTGACTTGTACTAACACTGATAAATATCTATTTATGCTGTTACTATCTCTTATTTCAAAGATCATCGTGAAAATTTTAACATAAAATTTTTACCGGCTGCTCTTGAATATTAGAAATTGCTTAAAAATAGCCTGTCTAGCATCCCTGAACATTTCATGTGGTTAACTGCTGACTGCACTGTGAGACATACCTGCCTAGGTTTTAAACATTTTTTCCAAATTTTATCAACTTCTTTTTATCCTTTGAAACAATATAAAATACCTTACAAAATGCAAATCTTTAATTGTATTTACTTATAATACATGTATTTATTCTATTCTAAGTAATCCCAATACATTATATTTATTCTGTTTTAAGTAATCACAATACATCATTTCACAATTCACATAGATCTATGCATTCAACCAAATGTATACTGGTACATTACAAACAAACTATAATAATTTTTCAAATCAAGCCAGCTGATGCGAAGCACCAACATCACGCCATCTTGATACAAGAGGGGTCTGCACTAATGTCCACCCAACCAGTCAATCTCAGTGTACTGACAACAGGACAGAATAAAGGTGGAGATATCTCTTATCAAGTCATGCCATCTCAGTGGACATGACAGCCATAATAAATCATAAGAGAGACAATGGTGTGAATTTTCTCTTTCTGCCCCGGCTGGACATGGTTGGAGTATTTATGTCTGCCTTTGGCTATACTGTCAGACTTGTCTGCCACCAGACTTGTATATCATCCGACCAGTACTTATATCATCACATGGAGACAGCAATGTCTAACAGTATACTGAGCTATAGGTGTAACTACATGACTAATGGTCTTGTTTACAAAATTTGGTGATGGATTCACAAGCAATTATGTTTAAAACTACACTTTGTGGTACCTAATGTATATGATTATAATTTTATCTGTATATAATTGATTTAATGAAGCAATAAGTGTCTTTTAATGGTCTGCATATGAAAAGTTTTAAAGCCAATGACCTGGTAATACATTATTAATGTACCAGTACATGTAAATAAGGAAAACAAAAAAGTCCATGGGGATCACTACATCACAAGTTATTTTTAGAGATCTAGTTTTTCATTCATCTGTTCTGAGATAAATGTGCTTTCATCTAAAGTAAAATAGATAATATTATATGTGCATAAATCTGTTAGTGATTGTATCTCAATGTTACAGTATACTTTGTCTTTGATACAGCACAGGGCATTAAATGCACGATAACTTTTACTAAAAGCAGAACAGAAATCTGCTAGAATTGCCACTCAAAATTTGATCAAGAGTTAAAATGTTTCATTCCACCAATATACTTTGACGGGTATCTCTCTCTCTCTCTCTCTCTCTCTCTCTTCCCCTCTTGACTATTAAGAAATGTTAATCATTAAAGATTACTGCCTTCAATCCCAGTTAAGTAACTATGTAAGCATCTTAAATCCTGACACACTAACTGATACAAGGGTCTTCACTATGAAAGAAACTACTGTAACATGTCCGTATATAGGAATGGCTGTCCAAAAGAACAGCCCTTTTGGTGTAAGGTCACCTCTTAATAAGAATTTGATCTAGGACCCAAGCCATTTCTCAACATGGGACAATAGAGGGGTAAAAAGTCAACTTTCTCAGAAAATTGCAGTGTACAAAACTGTGTAAGTTATGGGTAAAAAGCAATTATTCTAATTAATATGGAGAATATCTGTCATTATTTATAATTACTGCATGGCAGGGTTCATTGTAAATATACCCAGCACAAGAAATACATTAAAAATTCAGAAATCTAAAAACACCTATATTCAGATACAGAACTACATTTTAAGGCTAACATTCCCTACTGTCATTTTAGATCCTAATGCACCATACAGTACTGTAACTATGAATTATTTCTATATCATTAGTCTCTTACATAAAAAACAACCATCAAAAAATAACATTTTCTGGTACGGTAAACCCGACTGCTCATGAAACCTGAAAACAGAGGTAATATTTAAATGCGTTTTCTTGTCATTTTAATTATCTTTTTCTTTATTTTACATTTTCCTTGTACTGGTATGTATACCTATTCTCATTCAAGGCTGAAAAATGCGTTTCAACACAACCAAGCTATCCCCTCTATCACAATTGAAAAAAAAAGTTACAATGAGTTGTCACATCCAACACAATTTGTCACATTTATGCCTGTCAAGTGAAAACAATTAAATAACTTTGCTTAGATTGCACTTCTAATGCAAATACAAATGAGAAACAGCTTAACAAAAATAGAATCATCAATAAAAAATGACTTCATTATGTAGGAAATGAAAGCACTATTTAAGTATTTATGATACAGAAAGTTATCAACAAAATGGATATTCAATCAACTCTCACCTCTGGAAGTGTGCAACCTTGGATCCTGGGTAGATTTCTTTGTATGTGAAGTATTTATTCCAGTCAAATAAGTTCAGCAGCTGCCTGGCCTCGTCTGTGCACGATGTCCTGAAATAAATGTAAGCATTAGCTTTTTCAAGAGAATCATGCAGAGAGAATCTCTGCCTCCTGGCTGCCTGGTTGCTCTGTGCACGCCATCCTGAAATAAATTTAAATATCAGCTTTTATGCCAACAACTGCATTTCAATCAATCTGAATTAATCAGTGGGCTATGATTACTTTGCCTTACTTCTCTGGAACCATTTTCTTGGTTTTTCTTTCTGTTCCTGTGGAATAAAGTGCATTTTTGAAATACTTGTGAAACATTCCTTTTCAAACATTTGACATCAAACACTTCCTTTCCCGCAGATATGATATGAAATTCAACAGAAAAGTTTATTTTAATAAAATTAAGAGCACAGAAAAAACTATTCATCAAATTATCTAAGGTATCAAAAGGGTATTTTTTGAATGTTAAATAATACATTTCGTATTATTAACTTTAACAAAATCTGAAAATTATTCTTTTTTGAAGTACCAATATTTTGTATTTCATATAATCTGTGAATATCATACCCTGAACTGTAGACTAGTGAGCAACATAATTTGTATGTGAATTTGAAAATAAAGAATCTCTTTAACTCAGGGTTATAAGTAAGTAATAAAGGCACCTCGAAGCTACGGCTAGTGTGTATCCCTCTTGCTGCAGCTGCTTCAGCATCTGTGGAACATCTCTGTAATACTTGACATGGCGCCCATGAAAATCAAGCACACGTCCATCACTGAAGATAAATCGTAAAAAATGTAGCTTTATGGAAAACAGGAAAGGCATGATCATAGCTATTAGTAGTAGTAGAGAGAGAGAGAGAGNTATGTACAGACACATCTGTGTCTGTACATAAAAAGTTACAATGAGCTGTCACATCCAACACAATTTGTCACATTTATGACTGTCAAGTGAAAACAATTAAATAATTTTGCTTAGATTGCACTTCTAATGCAAATACAAATGAGAAACAGTTTAACAAAAATAGAATCATCAATAAAAAATGACTTCATTATGTAGGAAATGAAAGCACTATTTAAGTATTTATGATACAGAAAGTTATCAACAAAATGGATATTCAATCAACTCTCACCTCTGGAAGTGTGCAACCTTGGATCCTGGGTAGATTTCTTTGTATGTGAAGTATTTATTCCAGTCAAATAAGTTCAGCAGCTGCCTGGCCTCGTCTGTGCACGATGTCCTGAAATAAATGTAAGCATTAGCTTTTTCAAGAGAATCATGCAGAGAGAATCTCTGCCTCCTGGCTGCCTGGTTGCTCTGTGCACGCCATCCTGAAATAAATTTAAATATCAGCTTTTATGTCAACATGTCAATCAATCTGAATAATCAGTGGGCTATGATTACTTTGCCTTACTTGTCAGGTACCATTTTCTTGGTTTTTCTTTCTGTTCCTGTGGAATAAAGTGCACTTTTAAAATACTTATGAAACATTCCTTTTCAAACATTTGACATCAAGCACTTCCTTTCCCGCAGATATGATATGAAATTCAACAGAAAAGTTTATTTTAATAAAATTAAGAGCACAGAAAAAAAACTATTCATCAAATTATCTAAGGTATCAAAAGGGTATTTTTTGAATGTTAAATAATACATTTCGTATTATTAACTTTAACAAAATCTGAAAATTATTCTTTTTTGAAGTACCAATATTTTGTATTTCATATAATCTGTGAATATCATACCCTGAACTGTAGACTAGTGAGCAACATAATTTGTATGTGAATTTGAAAATAAAGAATCTCTTTAACTCAGGGTTATAAGTAAGTAATAAAGGCACCTCGAAGCTACGGCTAGTGTGTATCCTTCTTGCTGCAGCTGCTTCAGCATCTGTGGAACATCTCTGTAATACATGACATGGCGCCCATGAAAATCAAGCACACGTCCATCACTGAAGATAAATCGTAAAAAATGTAGCTTTATGGAAAACAGGAAAGGCATGATCATAGCTATTGGTAGTAGTAGAGAGAGAGAGAGAGAGANAGTAGTAGTAGAGAGAGAGAGAGAGAGAGAGAGAGAGAGAGAGAGAGAGAGAGAGAGAGAGAGAGAAGAGAGAGTGGAATTTATTTAGAAGTTGAGTAAACATGAGTGTCAAATACATCAAACCAATAATGTTAATTTTAACTTACTGAAAATGGCAGCAGACTATAAGTGTGCATCATTCAGATGAATTAAAAGGAAAGAATTAGAAAAATAAGAAGCAAACATTCAATGCCTGCTTACCTCTGTTTTTTAAATGGAGGGTCAACATGTGTATCAACCCAGAAAGGCCAAAGTGTATAATCTGAATTTATAAAATATATCATCAATTTGCTGCAATTCGAGAAGACAATGAATATGCCTAAAAGCAAGCAACCCTAATAACACTTCCAGCAACGGTAGATTGGTATTAGTGCCAATGACAACATTCGGCAACACACTTTACTACTGTACCAGGAATCTATAGTACTACATATACATGTACATGTAATGCTTATGAGCTGTTAAAAGTCATTCCAGAACTTAAATATTTAAATAATTAATATATCTTTACCTAGATCAAACACTATCAAGCTTGGCTTCATCTTCTTAAGGCTGGCATTCACCCTATTTGTCGCTAAAAAGAGGCTTTTATTTAACAAACACAAAGTTGTAAAGATCAGGGGTAGGTATTTGTGGGCGCCGCCATTTTGTACCGATCACATGACTTGACATACGAGAGTTTGCTTTTACTGTAAAATTGTGTTTTTTTGTAAATATAAAATTCACTTTCTTTATATGAAGATTTTCTAGTGATACTATTCGGCTTATCTAGAATATTGAAAGTCAACTAAATTTAGACTATCCATATTAAATATCCCGAGATCTTTCGAGATTTCAATTTGTAAACATTTAGAACTAGGTAACCTTCATGGTCACAGATGATCAGGCAACATGTAATTTCGGTTTACTAACTGATAGGTAAGAACGCTCTGCTGTGGTTGAATAATACAAGCGTTGTCGTGTTTATGTTTTAAAAGGTTTGCATTAATATGCAGGAGTAATAGGTTTGTATTTTCATTTATTTCATTCAGACTTCTTAGCATCTTGTTGTTGATAGTTACACGATCATTTTCAGTAAATATTATTTGTTGTACAATCACTGGTGCTAAGACTTCATTATGTTTAAGTGATTCTCTGAGAATGTTTTTCACGGTTTAACATGGGTCAGATTATTCCGTGTATACTAAAAGACTTAATGACTGTTGTATCTACATAATGTACAATTCTGCTGCTCGAAAGCCCAAAGGTACATGTAAAAGCTCATTAGTGGTTTTATTTTTTTCTGGCCCCTTGCATTGATTATTTGGCAGACAGGTTTGTTGTTCCAATGCTTATTTAATTTTTGAGCCTATTTCATCAGTCAGAAGTTAAGAGGTTATTGATATCAGGGAAAGAGGAAACATCTCCATGGTGATTTTTTTTTTTTTTCATACCAGTAAAAATGTAATGTATGCATGCATGGCTGATATATAACTAAAAAAGTTACAAAAGCTAAAAAAGAGAGATGATCCTATCATACAAGGCTCATATAATCTACTACAAGAGGTCCAGAAAGATAGGTCTCATTCCAATTTTTTTCAATTTCCTTACTTTATACCGTTTTTTTGCATCGGTTATTTGATATTGTGTTGTTTTTAGTGTTACCCTCCCCCTGCTAGTCTGCTAAACGAGGTCCAGAGAGAGATGGACGATATTGTGGACCTCATCCCATTCATCAAGGCGTATGTTCTTCCTGCTACATCCTCTAGCCTGTCCACATCTTCCACTGACAGCGAGGCTGCAACAGCTAGTCCTGGGACGCGGCGCTCACCCCGCAATTCTGCCATTGGTGATAAACAGGATGCTGTCTCTGATGATTTGTCTGGTGAGAGACTTTGTTTGGATTGGAAAGGGAGTAGTTTTTATTTATTAATATGTTTATTCATTTATTTATTTATTTATTTATTTATTTATTTATTTATTTATTATAAAATAATTGATGTTTTTTTATTTATATTTTAATCTGTTTATCGATGAAGTGATTTGTTGGCTTAATTACAAAGGTGTTACATTTTTGCACAATTAGTGTTGCAATTATGTTAAAATGTACACTTGTAAAACACTTAAAAACCAGATATCATAAAAATTCATTTTACTTAATATTTAGAGAGCCACACTTTTAACTTTCACATTTTTAAAACTGAATATTGGATTAAGTTTCACAAGGAGTAGAATTTCAGACCCATTTTTTAATTGTGTGTAATCTTAACATTACAGAGCACATTTGAATTATTATTGAAATCATTATTTTGAAAATTAAATTCTGACTTCCAGAGAGCCAAGCTCTATGTAACCACCTGAAGATTGGGCAGATGCTTCGGGGAAATGGTGGCCATGGCAACAAGAAATCTTCAACCTTTGGAGGAGTGATATTAAAGAGGCCACGTGGAAGGCCAAGACGGGCCCAGAGTCAGAACAGGAAGTTTGGAGTGAAGGAAATGAAAAGATGGTAATTGTGTATCCTTCTTTGCTGTTATATACAAGTAGAGAAAGCATATAACCAGGGAAGTCCTGCGTTTTTCAGAATTGAAGTTTTTTCAATGGAAATAAAGATAATGAATGTGGATAAAATATTAAGATTTTTCTTTTATTTGTAGTACTCTCTGTTGTAACCATTTAGTGCTGAATGCGTGTGAGACTTGCATTTTCCAGGTTTTTTTTTAAAAGATCCACTTTCACTCTGATAAATGCTTTTTTTTCCATTCATCTATGTAATTTTTTAATCAGGCTCCAAAAGCATTACCAGAGGCATCCCGACAGCTATCAGTCTGTTGCAAAAATAATGTTGGAGGCCAACCGGGAGGTCAAGGTCAAGGTCACCAGCAAGAAGGTCATCCAGGGGGTAAAGGCCGTCTTCCCAGAGTTAAAAACAAAGGAATGTGATGGGAATGTGTATGGGTTCAACGGAATCATTTCTAAAAAACTATTGGTAAGAAATGCAATTTTAAAAAAAATTGTATCACAACATGATTTTTATATGTTCTGAAGGTATTGTTTTTCCTTGTGTCTGCTTTTACAGATTTCAGTGCACTGTGTCTGTTCAAAAACTTTAAGCTTTTAAAATAATGATGATTGCTGTTTGATATTTTTGTTATATATTTAATGATTTTTGTGATTTTCAAGTAATACCTCCATTTTAACAATATCTTAAATATGCATTTAGTATATGTTGTATAATATACAAAGAGGGTACAATACCCTTAAGGCTTATTATTATTTGAGGATGATGTTTCACTATTATTGGTTCAAATAAAAAGGCCAGTTTTGTTTCAGAAACTGATATAATTGCTGAATAAGGATATAAACAAACATGATAATATGCTAATGGACCAATTGTGATTTATGCATATATTTTTCGTGAACTAGTGATTTCTGTTTGTTATGTATTTTAACTGCTCTATGTCAAAATAAAAACAAGTGTTTTTTTTTTTTTTTTTTTTTTTAATTTTTTTGTCTTAAATAATAAAATTACCATAATATTATTTTTGAATTTTTTGTTTAAAAGTATTTGCAATATCATTTATGTTTTATATATTTTATGAATTTTATTTATTTTTCAGCCCAGACCAAGGAAAAATGAAAACCTTAATCCCCCTCCACTCCTGAAGAGACAGCCTCCAAAAAAGCAACTCTGACAAAGAAAATGAACTCTGATCCAGAACACCAGAATTGTAGCCACAGTGGGATAGAATGTTATGTAATCAAAGGCAGTAAGGTAAAAAGTGAGGAACGTTTGGAACAGATGGCAACAACTGGTCTGGTGACAAGTAAGTGTGACAACATCAGCAACTTAACAGATACACAGGCCATGACACTTCTTCATCACCCTCATGGAATCAACAGGAACGGTGAGTTAACAAGAGGAGACGTGGAGATTTGGAAAGATGCAGAGCGATCAAAATCCACAACAGAAATACCTGGGGGAGAGCTCTCAGTCCACTGTGGCTAGCTCAGTGCAGAGTGATGCATTGCCTAGGGAGAGCAGTAACGCTGAAGGGGAGGCTTTGGCTGAATCTAGTGACCCTTTTGTTGAGATTAAGCAAGAAATGTATGATGTAGAGTATGAAGACAGAAATGCCAGTTACACATCTAAGTCTGCCAATGGTGCTGACATCTATGGTCAAAATGGTGCTCAATATGATGCTGATAATTGTGCATCCACTATGACAGCTGTTCAATCCACAGGAGAACCAGAGGGCAGTGGGTACCCCATGGATGAGGAAACTGAGGACCCCTTAGCTTCTACTTGTAGTTCATTGGCTGACCTCAGTGGCTTGTCTGAAATGCAGGCCAACTCCTTAATTATGGACGATGTCGGTCAAACCCAGGTCACTCGGCTGTTGCACACAGAATCTCAGCTCTCCGCCAAACGGTGGGCAAGAAAATCTCAGCAGCAAGGAGAAGATGGAATGGTCAATGAGAACATGGTTTCCAAGGACTGCTCTTCTATGGACCCAATGCACGCTAGTAATGGTTGTACCCAGAATTCACTGTCACAAATGGAGTCCCATTGCCACGCACAAAGCATTGATATTGTTGGTGATAGCAGTTCTTGTGTGCAATGTAACTTGTTACGACAGGAGCTTGGTCATGCCAGACACTACATCAAGGCCCTGAAGGCGGCACTGGTTGCTAAGGACTCACAACTGGCCACACTGGGCAAGAAACTGACCACCATTGGGACACAATTTTTAGAATTGTCCAGAGATTGTAAATCCACAGCGCCGGCTCTGGGATATGAAAATGAAAACTGGGACAACATGTAACAGGGATATATTTAATTATTTATTCACTGTTTTATTTCTTGTATGTGGAGGTTCTGTCTACCTCTTCATTATTTGTCTTTCCAAGTGAAGAATTTTATTCTTCTTGATGATGAAAACAGATTGTTCTGCTCTGTGCTATGAAAGGGGGAATTGTTATATAACATACCGTAAATGGGTGAGTCAATACTTGACTTGATAATTTGACACACTGTATTATTGTTACAGGTGCAGATTAAGGTATTATTATTATTATTATTATTCTTAATATTATTATTATTTTACAAACATTTTAACATATAATTATATCTGTACTAGTGTTTTAAGGTATTTTACAAGGGCACTAACTTATATGTTACCCCAATGTTGCTATGTACTGTTGTCTTTACATAACATCCACATGGGTGGTCTGTTATTCCAGCTAAAGGTTCCCTATGCTTAAGAAAAAAGATTTCCATTGTGCATGCACACACCCACAAACATGCACAAGCGACTGCATACTGACGTGCAAGCAAGCATTCATTGGTGCATTCGCTTTCATCTCTCACTCACACACACACACACACACACACACACACACATGTTCACATATTATTGCTCAGAATCTCAAAAGTTTTGTATAGCTGCGTATCATTCTTGAAGTAAATTGTTCTGCAAATTCTTTGCTCATTTTGGTATTTAACAAACGTAAAATCAATATGGTTTTCTGACACCTACTATTATTACTAATAATGCAATGATCTAAATGGGTTTGCACGTCAGTTAATTTTAACATTTGAGATAAATTGAACTTAACCCTGGCATTTCGTGGTAAATATTAAGAGATAAGGTTAGTTTTAATTAATGAAAGCATATTGCCTTCTTTGTTGCAAGGACATTCTAAGCTAGGCTCAGACTTAACCTTGAGCCTCAGAGCCTGGTGTACTTTAACTTACATTATTGTTTTAGTGGTTGTTTCAATGTTATCATAACTGACTGGTGTGAAAAATATAATTTTCTTACCATACTAAAAGGTTGGAAGGTAGTATAAGGTTAATGTGAAGCTTACCTTGAGCAGAAAAATTTTGACTTTGGTGCTCTAAAAGTCCTTAAAACATAAGTCAGGCATCCAGATATAACTATTTTTGATGGTCTTATCATTGCTGTAATGTACAATACCCCCAGTTTCAGTACTAAGTGCACATATCCTGAATTTCAGATTCAGATTGTAACTTCCCTACTTAGCTCTGCTGAAGTGTAAACATCAGGGTGTCAAACTGGTGTTGCCCCCCCTCCCCACCCCCCCACCCCCCCCCCCAAAAAAAAAAATGGTTCAACTACTGAATATCTGGAATATATATTTTGCATGAAAAAAAAAAGGTTAAAGCAATCAAAACATACTTGTGTTACTGTAGTGGTGCCAGGGTAATATTTTACTCGTTAAATATTCTTGTGAATTCAAACTGCTTTTTATTCATTTTTACTGTTTGTAACAGTTAAAATCATTGTTGGTATTTGTTTGTTGCTCAAAAGTTTCATCATCGTGATTCCTTGTGCTCAGAAGTGCCCATCTTGTCAGAAATGTTGTAGTTCAGGACTTATTCCTATTGGTTGTGTTACCTCTTCAATGGTCATTTTGTAAAAGGGAATATTTTAGTAAAGGAGAGAATATGCACAATTGTATTCTGTGTGATGTTATCAATATTGAATTCTTCAGTGTGAATAGAGAAAATGGAAGTTTAAAGGTGCTCATGATA